GTCCAGCGAAGATTTTCTCAACTTGATTTTTCACTTATTTCTTTCACAAACATGCGTAGCACTGTCGTAATGAATGCACAGCAAAACTCTGTGACGTTTTCAATGAGTTTTTGCGGATATAAATGACTTTGAAAATGAGCGTGATTAGTGGGGGATCCCGTTCGGGACCATACGAATAACGAATCATCTCAGCTTATTCAGCAAAGTGCTGCTAATCATTGTGCTACAGGGTGCGGCAAAAGTCTGGGAGCCTAACTTTGCAGTGCTGCAATTACAAAGATACTGACGGTTTTGATTTCAATTTTATGCCACATGATGCTGTGGTCATCCTCTACAGAAACACTTTATTTGGCTGGAAATGGCTGCTATATGTTTTTGTAAGAATGGAAATTACCAAACTAGTACTTTTGCAAAGCGAAAAAACCAGAATTTTTGGTATTTACAATTTTTGCTGTAGCTAGAGATGCTGTTAATATTTTACAAAACTTCGATGCACACAACATAGAAGAGGTTTGCGCTATTGTATCCTAGTTTTGCTTTTGCCAGGAGCTGATCTTGCATGGACGGAAAATAAGAGTTTGCGGATGTTACCTACGTGCCAGTAGAAATTCCTCTTCAGAACAAATTTAAAAGCTATAGAGTGCTCAACAGGCACTGGGACCAAGGCTGTATTTTTTGCATATGTCTTCTAAATTAGAATCTATTGAAATTCGGCCATGGGAACACTTTTTATACTTTTTAAACGATATTTTTGAGTTTTTATTCGCGCAATTGTAGCCGAAATTCCGGTATGCGACGTACACATGCTTCTAATTGAAAATCCAATATTTTTGTTCCTAAGCAATGCAAAAAAATTTTTTGGAAGTATGTTGTAGACAAAAGTTTGTTCTATCATGCTGCGCATTTGCCAAGGTAAAAGAAGCAGTTATTGTGAAGGCATGGGGCGAATTCCATTACGACTACCTGCGTGCCATAACAGGTAGACTTACCATGATTTTGTAGGGCTACGTGGAAGCCAAAAGAGGCAGTTTTGCAATTCAAGAACTGGGCTGTATCTGCAATGGTTCGAATTATGTGTGCGCCAAATTTTTCGTTTCTAGGTACTTCCCTTCTCGTTTTGTACAAAAAAGTACTAGGCTCCCAGACTTTTGCCGCACCCTGTACAATATTAGGGTAGTAGAGCCTCCAATAGATGAACAAACAAGGAAAGACACAGATTCCCAGAGCACCGAGCTATGAAGCGAAAACTCGGAAAGTAAGTTGTTCGAAACATTATAGATACCAGAACTTTGCCTCCTTCAATTTCATGATGAACCCACATTTTCAGATGCCAGCCAGCCTTTGGGCGGAAGCTACTTGACTAGACTTCAATAGACTTCTTTAGAGGAGAGCAAAATCTAGTATAAATAGGTAGTAAGCTAAATCCACTGTTGTACGAAGACAGACAACCCACAGAAACAAAGAGTGGGAACGTTACCGTATGCGGAGCGCATGAGGCGCAGAAGATGTTCGCGCAGCTCTGCGTTCGCTTCGCTGGACATCTGCAATAAATACACATTCCAATACATGCACAGGCTGAGTATCTGCTGCATTGCCCGCGACCCTCCCACTTTCGGCAACATGTAGTAGTCCCCCACCCGTTTTGCTTCAGGCCCTCCGCCTCCAGGAACAGACCAGTGCATTCCCTAAATGCTTAATTATATACGTAGTACATGGGACACATATGCTGTTGCCTGAGTAACAACATGCGTATGTCCTATGTAGTGCAAAGAGCGCTTTCTGATCCCCTGTGGGACACAGTCTATTGCACCGAGTTCCCACTAGAGCTGTTCGAACACCATGTTGTTCTGCATTTAAGGACGCAATCGGCTCCTGAACACACGCGGCCTTGGCCGAAGTGCGCTCGCAGGGCCTATGATGACTCATCGCTGTTTGTCGCGGCGCCAGCAGCGTGTCGACAGCCGAGTGGTTTAGACGGACAATCCTATCTATCCACCCGCCTTTCCAAAATGTCTTTCATTAGTCAGTCGAAAAAAGCTCGAAGTGTGACTCATGCTTTTGACCGTCCCGCCGTTTCGCAATTTTGCGTACTTGCTTACGTCATTTCACACTCATGACGTCATCGTGCCTCATATAAATCTACTTAGTTCTCCGTATCGCAATTTTTTGTAATGTGGGTTTGTTGACTTCATTAAGAGCGCTTTCCTCTAATAAGTTAGTTGCTGAAAGTAAAGTAAATCACATCCGCAAATTTGCGCATAAGCTTTCAGCTCCGTTATTTTTTTCTGGCAGCCACGTATGATTACTTATTTACTTGTTGTATTTATTGAGTCCTAAAAAGTTTCAGAAAAATTACATCAATAATCAGATTCTTATATTCGGGTTCGTCATTGTTTTTGACCCACTACTTTGTTTACAAGATCCAAAAATGCTGAGCTTAAATGTTTTGTGATCATAATGTTCTCAGATACATATTTTTCGATCATATCTAATCGGCTTATTTGTTTCGATAAGCCGTGCAAGTACCCCACGCAAATATTTTGCTTGATGATTCTAGAAGTCGAACAAGTGTCATTCTTTCGTTTTTTCCTGTTTTCACTGGTTGTTTTTTCGTCCGTTTGATGAAATGCTAAATTTTTCATTGTGCATATTTTAAAGAGCCATAGCTTTGTTTTCCTCAGACGTGCTTTGTCTCCGTGTTTCTGTCTCTCCGACAAATGTTTGCCATTTAGCTGATCTCCGATCATTGGAGCTTTTGGGAACTGAGAAATCGCATTGATTGCAAACTAGTTCGGCAAAGTTGCTCATATTCAAGGAAGCTGTCTTACGACTATTCTTCTATTTTTTTTGTCTTTGATGCCAGTTAATATTAAGATATTATTCTTGCAATGGCACTTATTCGATTGTTTCTCTTTTTTCTTTCACTGTGCACTCAAACTTTATCTTGGGGTTTCGAAGTCCCTTTTAGCTTGATAGGGTTTTTTGACATGTTGAGTGTCCCTCGTTTATTTTGGTCAAGCACGTTTTTTTGCCCTCTAGAATGGATCGATAGAAGATTTATTATACGAATTTACAAGTTAGATTTCTGTTTACAATTGTACACTAGTTCAAACACGTTATGTTATGTCCATTGCTCTAAACGAAAGTGCTAGCATTCTATTTTCTGCTCTCGCATCTGTCATTTCACATTTAATGACACTGGCGCATCGCGCAATCGATCACTCTCATCTTTCCATCCACTTTTGAATGTTTTACGAATGAATGAATTTTAAGGTGATTCTGTATTTCCAGCAATTGCTTACTATCTTTTTTCTGGGAGTAATTATCGTATGAAACAGAGAAATTCTTAAAACTAATTCCTTTAGTAAACTGCAAACTTTATGTAACTTTATAAGTTTGTTATTGTCGCTTGCGCTGTCCACAACTTGCCTGATTCCAAAAAACTGTGTGAGGATGTAATTTTTTGCGCTCTGCATCATTGATTTAATTCCCCACAATGTCTTTTTGAAGCGAGCGTCATCCAAAAACATATTTTGCGGTGAGATCGATAGCATCTGCACAAATTGTCATGTTATTGACATAAAATGGCCAGATTTACTTTCATTCATTGATAGAAATTGTCCTTTTGGAAAATAGTTTTGTCACAATTTAGCTTTTTTTCGCATTGAAAGTACAAACTTTTTTACGCAATGTGCCCACTGTCGCATCTCATTCATAAAAAACAATTTGGTGTAAATCTAAAAAAAAGTTCTCTATCACATTTTGTTTGGCAATGTTATGAAATTGATTTCCATGTCGCAAGACTGATAGCCTTCCTTCTCCCAAATAACTAAAGTATGATGCATCGTACGACCGCATCTTATTTTTCATGAAATGACGAATCGGCCCGAATGTTCGTTTTTTTCTGATCGGATTAGATCGTATGCGGGCAATCCACGGTCATGGGAAGTGTTGTAATGATTATGAATCATACATTTCCTGTTCATTGGTAGTTCTTTTTTAAATAATCCACCAGACTTATGGATCAGTCAGTACTGCAGTATTTTTTCAATCTCCGTAATATGCGTTTTTCGGGGGTTATACGCAGACAAATTTTTTAGTCGACGTTTTTTAGCCTGACTGTAACAGTAAATAAAACCGTATATTGCACATCTTGTTGGAACTAGATTGTGAAATTTTTTCTTTTGGGAATTAACCACTTTCATTGGACTTCAGCAGAAAAAGTCATAAAAATTATTAGCGAGTGATTACCTCGGAAAGGCTGGAACCCAAAAAAAATTTGCCTTTTGGTTAATTCTCATCTAAATAATACGTAGTAGGCAGGGCAGTGGCACCCAGGATTTGCGGTTGGGAGGGAGGGGGAGGGGGACAAAAAAAAATTTTTTTGGAGGAAGGTTGGCGTTAGACACACTCCAAAATTTTTTTTTGAGATGCTTGTTGGAATTTTCTTGTTGGAACCCGGAATTCTGGAATAATTTTTCATAAAGGGCTATTTGAATTTTTAAAAAATTTTAAAAATTATCCAAATTATTTACACGTATAAGCAAGTATATTTGTACATTTTTATAGCCGCAGTTTTTTTTTTGCAGCAGAACTTTTTGAAGTAATCCAGTCTGTAACACTAGGCGGTAGTTTAATCAGCAAAAACCTCTGACACTGAATGAAGTCAATCACCGCCTACATTTTAGTCAATCGATGAGTAACTGGCGAACAATAAAGTCTCTCTCCAAAGCAACTCAAAGATACACAATTGTGTCATGCTCTCCCACTTAGGTTTATTTGGCTTTCTGCTTGCATCTCAATTTTCCATCGCTAAGGCTTTTAAGTGCCAAAATCGTTCTCCTATATATTTTAGTGTTATGGGAAAGCTACAACAATTTCGATTAGGGAAGTTGGGGCAAATTGAATTCTTGAATTTCATATTTTCGTTGTTTTTGAATAGCTCATGGTCGCTTGTTCCGCTGATCTTTTGATTTTTCATCCATGTATCGCATTTTTACACTTTCAGCATGGCTGCTTATTACAACAATTATAATCTTGCACAAATTTTTGCATCAGTGGACAAGGACAGGTATATTTTTGTTTCAAAAATTAAAACTAAATTTCTGCTAAAAATTTTTCTACAGATCTGGTCAAATAAGCGCAGATGAATTACAACGAGCCTTGTCGAATGGCACCTGGAATCCATTCAATCCAGAAACCTGTCGGTTAATGATAGGTAGGTGGCAGTTATTTGTAGGGGTCATCAAACTAACACGAATTCTTACAGGAATGTTTGATTCGAATGGAGATGGAGCTATCAATCTGCAAGAGTTTCAAGTACGTTTTGATTACGAGATTAGCAACTCATCTTTTTTCCCATAATTTTTTTCCTTCATATAAGTATAGGCGAGTCATCGCACGCAAAGACGAGATGTATTGCGGGTGCTGTCGGTGTCTCTCCATGCAAGCGTACTCTCGTAGCTCTCTACCGTCTGATGTTTCTTATAAACACGAGCTCTATCTTGTTGTACGCAACATCCAGTCTCTCTGCGTGCGATGAATTGCTGTATCTTCGTTGATATGAAAACTTGCTTCTTTATACGAAACTCATTTTGAAACTAATTACAAGCTTGGTACAACTAGCTGTCAACATGAGTGAGCACATGCTTCGATAGTTTTGATCGCGTAAGACGAGATTTGTTTGCCGTAACCTGAGATTCATGTTTGTTCTCCTGTTTTAACTCAGTAAGACGTTTGATTTTGAGAGGAGTTGAGTGAAGTGAACAAGCTCGAATATTTAGCAGATTAAAGTAATTACATAAATTACATTTAAAAATTCTTTAGTCTAACATTTAGGCTCTCTGGAATTATATCAATGAGTGGACCAACTGTTTCCGAGGCTTTGATTTGGATAATAGCGGAAACATCGACAAGTCCGAACTGCAGAATGCCTTATCTAGATTTGGTAAGTTTTCACCTTTTTTGGTTACACTAAAAAAATATAGCGTATTGCTTTTAGGCTATCGTTTGTCCGATCAGTTCTACAATATACTTATGCTAAAATTCGATCGAACTCACACTGGAAATATAAACTTCGATGATTTCATTCAATTATGTGTTGTTTTACAAACATTAACGGCTGCATTCAGGTACGTTATAGTCAATGCCGGGGGGGGGGAGGTGAAATCTGAACAGGAATTACGAACAATTCATATAAACTTCTTTACTTTCTTCACAAAATTGCATTATCTATAAAACTGTAATCAAAACGTATCCTGGAGCACTTGAACTACAAAATGTGAATCTGCACATCTTGCGCGGCAACCGATGACACCCTTACCGATAACTAGAACCTTTTCTAGCGCAACAAACTGTAAGAATGTGTACCACTGACCAAAACCTACCACTCAAATCAAAAGAGATAGAAAACAAGGAGTAATCTTCGGAAATAAGCAAATTCTAGTCTTAGAAGTCGTCAAGTAGCGCGCACGGTGTGCTGACTCATATTGAGTCACAAATGTGTCGGTGGCACCACTGTAGTGGAATATTTGTCGTTGAACAATTACGATTTGACGGTTTTACTGAAATGTGCGTTTTTGTGAGATGAAAAGTGCAATCGTAAAGCGAAGAATTTTTTTTTCAGAGACAAGGACGCAGATCGAGACGGTGTGATCACGATACGCTACGAAGAATTTTTAACAATGGTGTTTAGTTTACAGATGTGATACTGTTTCCGTTGCACTTGTACCCCACCCACCTAGCTGCCTTGTATGAAAGAAATGTTCACTTAAACACTATGCATTCTTTCATTGTCATATCATAATTTTACAGCAAAGAAAATTATTTCAGGTTACTGGTATGTTAGTGAGAATGTGTCGTTAGTGAGAGCAAGGAAAGAAAATAAATGGATTCGCTCCACACTCGCTCTACATCTCACTTATCGCGTACGTGTACAGCTCTTATTCGAGAACATGGTGGTGAACTCATGGATTGACAAAACTGTGCCCCTATTTGGATAGTGGTGCTAATTAATTGGTTGAAGTTGCTGCTATCACTGTAAATGCTAGGAAAAATTCAATGTAGACGAACATTTCTTTCATATACGTCTATATAGTTCACTTTTACCGTTCCAAAATTAATCATTCCGCTTGTAAGTAGATCACAACTTGACAACTTTTATTCATCAATTTTGCATTGTACAAGCATTTTATATATTTTGTCATCATCCTTGGAATATATGAATGTTATCAGACTTGTAGTTAGCGTTGTTCAGCAATCTAAAGAAACGAAAACAATTTCAGTAAGTCAGTCCTGCAGAAAAAAATCCGCTTACTGTACAGCGTTTTCAATAAAGCCATCTGGTCCACATAAAAGTACCCGTAACGAATCATGTGGGACCGGTAACATGGCGGCACTGATGCGTCCCATACGTCCAGTCCATTTCTCAGATGGCTCGCTTAGTATATGCTCTACCTAAAAAAATTTTTTTTTACCAATGAATGAATGAAACTGGCTGCCACAATGGAATGGTTATGTAATCTCGAAAATTAATCCAAAAAAAAGTTATAATTAGAGAGAAGAGGAGGAATTCATGGAGATTGATAGAAAACTCAGCTTACCCGAATTCTGCTATCATCCCACTTCATAGGTAACCAGTCGTCGTCGACAATATCCTTCTCTGTTTTGTTGAATAACAACAATGTAGTGTTGCACCTAAACAAAAGTTTAGTGCTTCTCATATTTTATGATCGACACATACTTGTTCGAATCTCGCTCGGAAATGCTTTTTAACCTAGCTCTGATGACGTTAACCATTGGAGTTAGTCCGGTTCCAGCGGCGAGCATGAGTAACTCAGTGTCTGCGTCAATCCACTTGGACAAATCTTTACTTCCCACGGGCTCACTCATTTCGATTTTACCTCCTGAAGGCAATATTTATCTGCACACTTCAATAGCTTAGGTTTCTTACCTATCAACAATTTCTCTAGCAAAGGCGTGCATATGCCGTCAGCGTAAATTTTAATTAGAAATATGAGTTTAGACGGACTAGAGAAGAGAACATACGCGGAGTTTTTGTTAGACTCCTGTGGCAATGAACCCAGACTAACAGGCGTATACGAACGATAGATAACCGAAGCTAAAGAACAGATTGCAAACTCACGAAAGAAAGCAAATAAACTCAAACTTACACCCTTTTTTGATTTTGAAAGATACATGACGTCCAACCGGTACAGGGGAAAAGACACCAGTAGGCAGGGAAACAGTGAAGAGTAGAGTATCATGAGATATCGGAAGTTTACCCTCTATACTGCACTCGTGATAAGTAAGCACTGCAAATATGGAAATTTGACCCGATAGTGTAAAAAAGATGGAAAGATATTTAAAAAACCCTTGGAAAAGTTCAATAATGTACTCTAAAATCTCAAAGATAAGTCCGCTATTTTGACCCAAATAAGTTTGTTCTTTAAAGCCTTCAGATAAGTCGGCCCTGTATACAAGTCCTTTTCTCTCATAATACCTAGTCTGAAATCTTGTTCAACTGCCAAGACTTTGGCTTACCTGCAGACGGACTTGTTTGATGGGAGGCCCTATCTGTGCGATTTCAGGTAATTATTACAGATCAGGGATTCAGATGCTTTAGTTAACAAACTTTCTTGATCCAGAACAGGGGATCGAACTTACATGGGGACTGTTTAACAGATTGACAGGCAGTTGACAATACAGCTGCAACATTTAAGTCATCAGCATCAAAAGACACCTTGATACATGGTTGCTTATCCACTGAGACTTGATATCCATTCAGCGAGACTTCTGTGGAGATCTCTTCTACAAAAAAAAGAGGTTGTTACAGGCTAATAAAAATGGAGCAAAAGTCTATATTGAAGTTATATTCAGACTGTTGAAGTTTTGGGTGCCATAAAAAGAAAAATGCAAAAACAACCTTGTTATGCCATCAGAAGACGAAAGTAAAAAAAATGTAAGCGTAGCAGTGAAAGAATAATATATGAACATACCCCATTTGACTTCTACCGCTGCGCTTCCAGCTGGTCGCACGACAATTCGCAGACACCTTTTGCTAGCAGAAAATTCAACAACAACATTATCCAGATGAAGATCAGAAGATTTCCATCTTGGACACGTCAAAGTTACGCTCCTATCGTCCTTTTCGATGCTTGAATTATGAGGCATCTCACTAGAGAACTTAACCATGAATCAACTTACTTGACCCCATACGTCTCTTTGCTTTGTTTCTCCTTCATTATCAATGCATTCAACTGCGCTGATACCGATGTGGGCTGTTCATCTAGTGTGGATGGACCAGGCTGAGGCACTAAATTTCACAGTCAGAGGTGAAAATTCGTGAATGTCACAAACTTACATTTTGAAAGGTCTCCGACAAATCTCCCAACTAAGCATGACTTCAACATGCTTTCGTAGTTTACCCATGCATGGTACTGGTTAAAGAGAGCAGTTCCATCCGTACCCGCTGCACGCATAAGTTCGGGGATTCCTCCAGGATGGAATTCCAAATACGATGTTACGTCGTAAACCTACAATACTGATGCAAAAAATTCAAAAGGAAAGTCCAGATTGTGGGAGATAAATTAGAAAAAACCTTCTACCTGCCCAAAAATGTGAACCCAACAGTCATCCCTTGTGTTGTGTTTCACAAGCTCTTCACTGGTAACCGACATATGCTTCTTTGCGAGGATCTGAGAAAAACAGCATGTAGAAGATTTAATGGAATACACTCAAAGAATTCTTTGGTGAAAATTGAATGAGGCAGATGTTAACACTAATATGATGTATGAAAGTCAAAGCCGGCCCGTATGTCAAAGTCTGTTAAAGAAACCGAATACTGGTTGCTAGGAAGCAAAAGTTGTCAAGTTAAAGATTCACGGAATACATGAATTTTTGTTTTTTAAGGCAGGTGATAGAGAATGTGTAATTAAATGAGCATTTCTTATGCAAACCTTTGATTATACTTTCCAGCAAGGTTAAATTTGAAATTAACAGCTAAGAGCGATTTTTCACCCGTTTTGAGAACAGAGAAGTATGAAACGCTAGGCATAAGTCGTCTCCGAACAAACTTCGACTCTAACTTCAAGAAGTAAACCTTTCAAAGAAAAAACATAAGTTAGTTTTGTTGATTACATGTACACAAAACGTTTTCATAAATTCTAGTCTTGGGATGATATTCAAAAGAAGATAAATATTACTTCAAAGTGCGTAGAAAAACAGTGAAATCAGCTCGAATTGTAGGATAATGATATAAACCCGTCTTAACTTCTTTACTTTCCTTGAAATCCGATATACATGCATATCGGATTCTAAGGAAGTGAAGAAAGGGAGAATAAAAGACAAGAAAGGAGAAGATTGCATACTACTTTGCTATAAAAGCCATGCAAAAAATCTGATAGAGAGAATCAAATACCTTTTCAGAAGCCAGTCGTACCCAATCCATGAGCCCCTTCCCGGGCGGAAGCGCAACTTTGACACGTCCATATTCACTTCGACCAACTGCAGGTCTCTTGAAAAAAGCGTGGCTATAGCGAAAGAAAAAAAAGAAAAAATGGCAAAAAAGCTCACAGCGGGATTAGAACCCATTGCTATGAGTCTAAGCTATTGAATAATTGAATCTAGCACCTGGAAATGACTTACCGCTGTCAAATTAGGTAATCCGAGAAATGGCATGAAACACGTGACAACCACGTCTTCATTAACTCCCAAGCTTCCGTCGCCACAGGCGATCTGCCTTCCGACGTGAAATAATTGTCGTCATGTGATTGCACACAAAGAACTGAACAACACGTCTCCATTTAAAAAAGTCTGTTGCATTGCAAATTCGACTACGAGTGCAGTATCAGCATGCGTAAGTGATTGTGAGTTTTTGAAGGAAAAAAATTGAGCGCAAATTTTGATCAGATCGATAGACTAACCTTTTCAGGCGCTTGACCTACACTGCTTAGCTGATTTGTGTCATTGCTGTACATGAGTAGTAACAACGGAGTTCCCGTGCCAGCTAGGCGTACTCTACATACTGAAAAGCAAAGTACTGGACCATCGGTAAGCTTTTTGCTTTCTTAGGGTCTTTTTCACCGAAAGCGAAAGCATCTCACAATAAGGGGCTAGTGGTGTTTACACAACCTCGTTTCTCCAACAGTCATCTCTAAAGGTTACATGACTGCAATACAACATGAAGATGTGCCAAGTCTAATTAGTTTGCGACTATGTTTTCAATGAATCTGGATCCAGTCCGGTCCGGAACGACCCATTTTACAAAGTACCGAGAAGCAACTGTAGGATGAAATCAGATGAAATCACAGCCGTGGATTGGAACGCAGTCTTTCGGACCGTTTATATCCTCCTGCGCACAATTTAGTGAGCATGGTTCGATCCGGGTTGTATCATCGGCTCCACGATTCGTGTAGAGGCGGGGTTTTGCCAACTCGAAGCGTGGCGGTTTTTGATAGCGGGAGAGTATAGAAAACAATGCTATGACGTGGAGGTTTAACAAGTTTACCTGTATTATCAGGCAAAGTCTGCATCACACCTCTACACGAATCGTGGAGACGATCATATAAGTATAGGCGTACACACAATAGCACAAGCGCTGCAGTAGCTTCCTCTAACTGGTATGCAGCATACTTTCACACTAACTCAGCTATTATTTTCCCCAGAATTACTGACATTCGGCTTGTTTTGAATAGCATCTTCAAAGAATATGTAGGCTATTCATTGCACGCAGAGACAGTTTGCCACTGCGGACGTCGGCGTCTGTCAGATAAAAAAATAACACCCCCCAGGCAGGCGCTAGACGTATCCCGTTCACCGTTTTCGGTTCATCCCTTCGCTATCGGTCAGTTTAGCGATTCAATAGTGAAGGGGTGAACCGGATGAATCGGCTAAATCGGATGAGTCTGGCGCTATTTAAGGTCCACGTTTCTCCCAGATGCTATCTTAGTAGGAGTATCTTAGTATCTTAGTCTCTGCGTGCGATGAATTGCTTATAAGTCCTTTAGAATGGATAGTAAATTGAGGCGAGATATATTAAGAAGGAAGCATTTCGAAGTGCTAGTAGATCAGCTGTCTATCGATGTTGTCAGTTCTCAGTGCATTACGGATTATTCACGAAAAATGCTTGATTCTTGCGCGCTGCTTATTTTTTGTATGTATATAACCATATACTGTTCTAATAATCAGTTTCAAATCTATATGTATATATTCAACCATATACTGCTCTAATAATCAACTTTACCCACTTTAAAGCACGAATTTCTCTCAGAGCGAATCGGAAGATGTGACAGATTTGTCTCCTGATCCAGAAGCTGGTGCGGTATGCGCGAAAGTCTAATCAATTTTTCATATTTTGTTTTCCTGTTTGCGACTCCCATCCTTGTTTCAGTCCAAGAAGTAAAGGGAACCTAGCCACCTGAAGACGAAAGGGAGTGATTCTTGGTTGTTGCCTTATTTATGTTCTCCCATAGACAACTTTATGTTAGCAATGTTTGGTATCTTTAGAGTGTCCCTGCAAATGTCGAATTATTTTTTAGACCGGCTTGTTAATCAATGTGATTCGCTCACTTACTACAAGTGTTTCGGAGGACCAGCGCGAGCTAGAAAAGTCTCGACTTCAGAAAGGGTTCCAGGAGTCCGAAGCTCTTATAGACAGACTTGTCCGATGTATGTTTTGAATTTTTCCTACATTTCTCCAAATTTTCCTGTACCTTGAATCTATCTACTCTAATTTAGCGCATCAAAAAGATGTTGAGGAATGCTTGGATTCTTTTAGAGACGTTTCGACACGAATATCAGGTCAGTTTGCAACTCAGTTCTGTTCTCAGTTCGCTACCTTTCACTTTTCCAGCATGTCGTGAGCGAATTCATAATGTGCGCAATGCGCTGCAGACGTGCAAGACTCATCTAGAATGTAGGAGAGATGACCTCAAGAAACTATGGCTTGAAAATTCGCAGCAAAAGCACATCTGCGAGTTGATGGCGCAGCTGTATGTGTTTGATGCAGTTTTTTGCTCGAATTAGAGTAACTTTGCAGAGAAGAGCTCAAAGAAGCCCCGTCTAAAATTGAATTGCTGATGAATCAAGGCAACTATACAGATGCTGCGAAGATAACTAGCACGTCGAGTGAGTTTAACTTATGTTTCTGTATCTTCTAGTTCTACATATGTCATCTCAGATGATCTGATCAACGGTCGACTTTCTAAAATAGAAGCTCTTGGTCAGCTGAAAACTCTAATTCGCGACGCGTCAGAAACTTTGCGCGAGAGAATAGTCGATCAGATTGTGGACATATTGGTGGTGGATCCATTCGAAAGCCATGTAAGAAAGTTCCCTAGTGTTTTCGGGAATTTAATAAGTTCGTTGATGCAGATGTTCGACCTTATACATGCCATGCCAGAGCAGAAGGTGATGGAGTCCGAGCAATGCTCTCGTCTGAATGAGAAGGTGACCGCTATCTGATGTTTAATAAGCTCTTATGAGCACAGACTTAAATCTTCCCTTTTCTCCCCCTTTCATTTTCTTCTGCTAGGACTATCGTTTAAGGGCAGCAGCTCGGCAGATTGACAATTTTGTGATATTTATCGTTCTCGGTTCCCCTGGATGAGCTAAGTCCAAGACTGTGCTTTGCAGTTCCAAAAGATGTCATTAACCCGGTTTTCCAGACGTGTAAAGCGCTATTTTTGGGCGGACCGCGTAAGCCGACGCTCTAGAGCGCAATTGGCTCGTGGGTATAGATACCGTACCCACCGTACTCATGAGCCAATGCGCTCTAGAGCGCGGGCTTACGCGGTCTGCCCAAATAGCACTTTTTAAGCCTGGAGAAGAGAGTTGTTAATATCTTTTGAAGCTGCAAAGCACAGTCTTGGGCTTAGCTCATCCAAGGGAATCGAGAACGATGGATATCCCAAAGTTGTCATTCTGCCGAGCCGCTGCCTTCAAATCAAAAGTTTAGGCAAAACGAGCTCGATCATTGGATCCGGTTGAGTCACGTCTTCGAGTCGTGGTGAATGCTCTAACGGAACTAGGTGGCGGATCGTTTGATATTGACCGACTGATGACGCTATCAAAAGCCCAAATCGAAAAACAGGTGCATTCATTGTTTTAGAAGGTTTTTTCGCGCTCCCTTTACATTGCATATTTAGGTTGCCGCATCTGTATCTCTAATGAGAATACGAGCCTCAATAGATGAGAATCTAGCTGGTGATCAAACCCACTTGACACAGCTAGTGCAAATGGTTAGAGCCAATGATAGCCAAGAATTTTTTCCAAAGTGCTCCTTCAGATTGCTTGCCAACTAGAGTCATCTCGAGGTGCCCATAATGTGCTAGAAAAAATTCTTTCGGATTCTTCTGGAGCCACTATCATGAAGTCTTACTGGGATGGCGCTCAGAATGCTGTAGAGGTAGCTCTTCCTTTCTATTTTTTTCAGTAATGAGCATTTAAATGTCCTCCTAGGCTCTGGTTTCGGATCATCTTGATATTACTCCATTGGCTGCCAAGGAACCAATAGATTCCAAGAAACCTCTGTTTCGTTTTGATGCTACAGCTTTTGCCAGTGGCACATCAACAACTGATCCTAGCATGCAGGTGTGAACGCAGACGTGATTATAGCATCGGACATACTGAAAACCTTGAGATTTTCAGAGTCCATTGGTCGTTTGCCGTCCATCCGCATTTAACATCGTGCCAATGTTCCCATGGCTGCGAAAGTTGATGGATTCCATTGAGAAAGAGACCGGAGAGTCGCCTTGTCAACTAAGGTAAGACTTTATATAACACTGTAGCACCACATCTTCAGATTTATTCTTTTTTTTAACGTCAGCTATCTTCCTGAGCAATGGCTTCTTTAGGCGTTTTGTCCACTCCTTTGTCATGGAACTGTTTGTGGAAAGAGTCAAGGCTGGTCTTGCTGATCGTATTGAAAATGCTTTGAGGAGGTCTGATAACACCAGATCGCGGAGTGTAGCCAATGCCGTGAGTTCTTCCTCATGCAGTGTATCAAGCATGTTTGATGAAGTGTTTCTGTGCAGAAAGTGCTTCCTTCTTGTGAGCGTGTTCTGGAGCTCTGCCAAGAGGTCCATGGTCTTATCGTTTCTATGGATTTATATGCAGACCGCTTCGCGGCTCTTTGGCTTCTTGTCCTCACTGATTACAACAAAAATGTCACGGATATGTACGAGAGGGTAAGCTTGATTTGTATATCTGCTCATAAAGCTGGAATTACAAATGTAATTATTGTAGACTACCAAATCGTTGAGCGAAGTTGATGGCGTGGCCTCAAGGCGTAAAATTAGCGCCGCGTGGGCCGCTGACGAAGACATCTCGCGGTAAACAACTTATCTATTGTTTGTACTTATCTGTTTTGTTTGAATTTGGTCTCTTTCCAAGAAACAAAAGTTTCAGTCTGCTCATGAGCCTCCCTAATTGGCAGATGGCTGCTAACGAGGCGACTCCGAACACACCCAGTGTTCCAAATCTCGAAAGCGAAAAGGTTGAAAAGTTGTTGCATTTTTTTTGCATTTTTTGCATTTTTAGTCTCGCTGATTTACCGAAGTTCATTATATATTCAGGAAATTCGTCAGCGGAATGAGCGTGAATCGGAAATCTTGATTGGGAACCTTGCAACTCAAAAGAATATTGAGAGAGCCGAGCTGTTGACAGATATGGGTGACGTGCGAGCATTAGCAGCTCTTCATGAAAGCTTGCGATGGTTTGCTTGTGAGGTATGATCAGTACTCCATAATTTACGACTGAGATTTTAGTTGCTGCAGTATTGTTTTTTGTTGTCTTCTATTACTGTTCTTCTTTTGGTTGATGTAAGTTCAGTTATTATTTATGGTTTTTTGAGGTTCGTGGTCTCATGGCGAGCCTTCCACAACATGTCAAATCAACATTGCGAGGTTGTATGGTACAAGTTAGATTCAAGGATGGACAAATTACTGATAATGTAGATATTTTAGCTTCAATATTGATTACTAATGAACTTTTGTCAACAATGCAGGAACCCGTCCTGGATGCCATGGAAGACTGTATTGGTCGTTTGGACACGATATCAGATACATGCCTTTTGATGTTACATCTGGAGCTTCGTGTCCACTGCTTCTTCCATCTTCTACCATTAGCCAGACCAAGAAACGTCAGTGTTCATGAGGAGTTGGATCCAGAGGTAGGCCTTTTATTGTAAACCACATTTATAAAGCCTTTTATGAACAAATGTTTAGGTTATTGAGTTGGGACGTGATTTACAGTCTTTCTACCAGCTTCTTTCGTCCATACTCTCGCAACCAAAACTTCGTTATATATTCGATGGTTTGGGACATCTGTGCGCCGCTATATTTATTCACTCAAGGTGAGGTCTTTTTTTACAAGGTGGTTTTTCATCAAAAACAATTCTGTGATTTGCAGTCAGCACATGCCACGCTTATCGGAGGCGGGAAAGAAACGAGTATGCCGAAACATCTGGGGCGTACAACAGCGACTGTCACAAATCACGTCCAGAAGAGAGGCAGAGCTGGACAGAGCCAGAGCCTTCTTCGAGCTTCTAGCGCACGAACCGGATCGCCTACTTGCCCAGTTGCCTGACCGTCGCTCACAGTTCACCCCCGTGGAAATGAACCATCTGGTTGCTCTCTCCGTTCGCTCTCATCCAACACTTGCAAGTCAACATGGTGCTCTTGAGCAGCGGCTTGCTCAACTCTCATCGTTGCTTAAGCAGCCTATCTAACTTTTTGTTGCTGTTGATATCAAGTCGATTGTCAGTGGGCTATTTTTATTAGTTTGCATGAATTTTTATTTATTCTGCAATATGTGATAAAGTATACGGTTTCATAAATTTTCTCTCTGGATATCCTTCAATGCTAGGTTTTTTATCTCTATAGTTCACGTAGCCTAAGCCGAGAAGGGTATAGGTACCGTAGCGAGACATCTTAACTCTCTAAAGCAACTTGTCTCTAACGGTTGTATTTTGTTGCTGGATACAGTTGTAAATTCTTTCTTGCGACTCACATGTTTTAAAAATATAGGTTGTCTTAGTGAGGGGGTCGCATCGAGACAGATCTCTGACGGTGTTATTTGTGCAAGAGACTGTTTCATCTTTTTCGTAAACCTGTTTCGATAGATGCTTAATTCTCTATATCTCAAGCTTTCACACATAGTCCCCATTTTACATAATTTCGACAGCTGCAGCGTAATCCACATGTAAGCAGTCTCAGTTAGAGTGTCGCAGCCCAAGCGGTTCAGCCTCGCGGTCGCCTTGCTGAGCGACTTACGTTCGCGGATATATCCTGTGTGCTCCAGAAAAGACCCATGTGAACCAGCGTGCGTACGTGGTGCGACGCTGCCTTTCGCTCTTTTTGACACGTTTCTACTGGGATTTGAATGGGACTACCTGGGGTTGACACGTTCAAAAGAGCGAAAGGCAGCGAGATGACGTGGTACCTCTAGGAATCTTGCTGGGGAATGAACGATACCTCGTGGGCATTTTCCCATGCCAGCAGCATTGATGCTGGCGAGATTGGGAAAGTCCAGATACGTCCGCGACCCGCAAGGTTCAAGGAAGGCGGCGCGGATTCCCGACCCAGTGGGCGACCATAACTCCATCACTTAGATGAGCTGCAGTCTCTAAGCTGTATGCCTGTGAGGCTAAATGGTTCTAAAAAGAGATCGTTTGGAAAACTGGATTATAGACTTGTACTCACCCCCCCCCCCCTCCCTCTTGTTACACTTGCAAATGGGAGTTGGCGGTTTGAAGACATGTCCAAAGTTACTATCTTCAATACAGAACGTTCATTCGTGTTCAAAGTCGGTGCTATAGAATGTGCCTATCAGCAATCGTGAGAGGACCATGTCTGTGGTCTAGCCTATCACCATAGGTGCGATAGTGTGAGAATTTGCTCACCCCCCTTCCACCCTGAGCCGGGACCAAGGTGACCCCTTCACCAAAAGCCGAGAAAAAAATCAACAGTGAGGTAAGATTAAGCAAAGGCGATATTTGTACGGGAGTTGTTTAGGTATCGAAAAGCGGGAAGAAGATTTGTAGGCATTCATGAACTTCCATGAAGAAAAAAATAGTAGCTTTTGTAACTGCACAGCAAGTCAGCGAGGAAGGTTCCGTGGAACAACGTTCCTATCTGGTTTCAGGGAATAAATTGTTTGCCTAGAGTCCGTTCATAGAATTACCTAATGAAAGGTGTGCTTAGTGATTTCTGGACACTTACGGATTTTCAACGTAAAAAAATCATATATTTTGTGAAGAACACTCATTCGAATGTAAGGTTGCAATCAATTCCTCGTCACTCGTCTTACGTTTTGGATATTACTTTTGTTTTTGTCAATCTTGTCTTTATTTTCCTTGTCTTTCTCGCGTCTTTTGTGCATGAGATGCGAATTTAACTTTGGATTCCTATTTTTGCAGAAAACTTTTGCTATAATTTTGAGGCTTCCTTGGGAACTCTTAACCAGGGGCACCAAGGAAGTTGCACTACCGGTATAGTTCTTAGCCCCGAAACCGGATAGTGTTCAAAAAACTCAGAAAAATTCTAAGATTTTTTGTATGTGTCTAGCATTTTATCTATCAAATGCACAAAACATCTTTGTTATAAAATGTGTGAGATCCATTCAAGAAAGTGCGGTGAAGGGTAATCCTAGTGATTTTTGGAAATTTCGAGGTTTTAACATTAAAAAATTCATAACTTCTGAGGATGAACAGACAGTACCCTATTTTCAGGTGTATAAGCCGCACCCTTTTCACTCTAATGGCGAACACGCCAAAAGACTGACTGTCATCATGGAGCGCGTTAAGTGAGAGCAGTGTGCGATAAGGCGACCGCTTCGCGAAACACATGCGCGGCGGCACGCCTGGGTCTGCTCGCGTTTAGAGCAAAAAGGGTGCGGCTTATACACCTGAAAATAGGATACATTGAGATGGTAACCATTGAAACCGTCTCGTTCTTCGCTTAAAAATATATATACTTTGCCCTGGGTCCATCAAAAAAAGTGCTTGGGTGAAGGGTGTTCTAGTGATTTCTAAAGATTTTCGAGTTTTTAACATAAAAAAATTTGTAACTTTTGTAGATGAATGTCTTTTACGCCGAGATGGTCACCATTGGAACCCTTTTGTCCTCCGCTTTCAGAAAATATATACTTTGCCTGGGTTCCGTTGAAAAAAGTGCCGGGTGAAGGGTGGGTGAGACTTTTATAATGGGAGTGCTCAAGTAGGCGTCTTTCATAATGGTAATCCACTGCACCCCAGGCAATGTATATATTTTCTGAAAGCGGAGGACGAGACGGTTCCAACGGTGACCATCTTGGCGTAAAAGACATTCATCTACAAAGGTTATGAATTTTTTTATGTCAAAAACTCGAAAATTTCCAGAAATCACTAGGACACCCAAAACATTTCCCTTGCTGACGTTGCCTTTTCATCTACAGAAATTACGAATTTCTTTTTTTCAATTCGTAAATGCTTAAAAATTGTCCAACTCTTTCCGAAACAAATGTTCTCGCGTTCTCGCAAGCACATCTTCTATGGTAATTTCAAAAACAGGCAGGGTGATGTAAAAAAGGGAAAAGGAAATGTAAAAAAATACAAGGTGCTGGTCAGAAATATAATTGTGTGCTAATCCAGCAGCACATCTGTTCGAATTTCAGAAAAAAGACAACCAGTGATGGCAGGGAAATGAAAATTATAAACTTGAAAAATGATGAGAGAACACCATGGCCGCCCCCTCCCCCCCTGTCGACATTTTATAATTTCTCTACCAAGTGAAACACCCTTCACCCTGAGAGGCTGCGACTACTGTGACCCCCCTTCACCCTGGAGGAGTCATTCTCATCTTATCGCACCTATGCCTACCATTTTAATCTCTAGCTGGCGGAATGCCAGCACTGTGCTCTCGCCATATGGTGCAAGCACTAGCGGAACGGCTTGCAGCTTCAAGTCAAGTAATATAGTAAACTGTTCCGATCACAAGATAGTGTATCAAATTCTGCTGATACATTTCTATGGCTTAATGCGACAACCGCTTTGGCGCTTCCAGAAGGCCCAAATTTGTCCGATACTGATGTACTAATGAAGCTGTTGACACTTTGTTTTCTTTCTTTCAACGAACTTCCCCGATATGTTTCCAACTTTTTTAGGGAGTGTAAGGAGCAAAAAGAATGAATAGCATTTTTTGTCTCAATTTGAACACCTGCCACGACGCAAGAAGTTGCTCCAGTAGAGTTTGGCAATGGCGCACTTTTTTGTGGGAGTGGTCTCGCTGTGTTGTTTGCCGCCGGTTTGCCTGCTGTTGATTACACTGTGAGTGGTTCTTATCCTCCTTTCATTAATTCCTTCGGTTTACCCTCGAGATTGTTATCATTGCTGTCATGCATTGCGTGACTGTTATTGTTCTAGCTTTACGGTGAAGCGTGCGCCCAGTTTGGAATCCAATAATATTCCGAACTTTTTAGGTGGCGTACTATTTATACATTGTCCGAATGTGATGCTGAATCGTCGTGTGCTTGCTGAATGTCGGCGTGCTATTCGTAGTTCTCGCTGGAATGCTGACACTCACTTGAGGTTTGGTCCAGAAGCTTTTTCGTAGTTTATACGTCTGTTTAATCGTGAGATTATAGTTCGTTCTGGGAATAAGAGAATAGAAACTGCTTTGCACAAATTGTCAAACAGGCTTGAACTTGTTCTTTTCTGTCTGCAGGTAAGAAAAGGTTAGCTAGCATAGGTATAGACTTGTCACACGATTGAATCTGTTGACAGTTTGTGCAAAGCGGTTACAATAAATGATATCAAGAAGCTGCGAATGAATCAAACAAACCGATTTTTCAGAGTTTCTGGGTTGTTTGCTGCTTATTCCCAAAAAATCTTTTTTTTTCTCAAATATCCCATTTTCTCATTTTTTCCGACAGATTCCTACTTTCCAGAGCTCATGAACGCTCTTTACCTGTTGATCAGGATGCCATTCTTCGAGTTGATACCTGCCAACTAGCTGCCAATAGCCCCATAGAGGATTTTTACTCAGCTGCAAAGTGTACGTTTGTTTTTATATCCTTTGTATATTTAGCTGTTCCAACATGATTTTATCTGTTTACTTTCTTAACAACCATAATTGGTGCGACTTTATTCTTATATGATTCGCAAAATTTATTGTTTTTTGTTTCTTGACATTTATTGTTGTCAGGAGCTGTTGGGAGAGGAGAGGATAGGAGCGAATTGGTTTGCAAAAGTTTTGTAAAATGAGTGCAGCATGACCTATTTATTCCACAAATAATGGCTTTGCTATGTGCATTTGCCGACTCAATATATTGGTGTAATAAATCATGAGCTACTGTAAAAACTCGCACATTCCGTTGTTGTTTTTCGGCGTTTATCGATAGCCAAATCTTCGATCCATAACTCATATGTGGCTGCTAGCATCTCCAATCTGATCTGCAAAGGTTTTTCAAGACATTCATTTTTTAGGCTTGTCATCAAATGCGTTTTTATTTGGTGTCTTCGATGGACATGGTGGCCATTCATGCAGTAGACACGTGTCTATCTCGTTGTTTTCGTATATATGTGCTTCAGTTTTGCAAAAACACGAGGTAACACCTGTCATCTTTTTCTTATCAATTTAGCGTAGATTTTTAAAAAACTGTGGAGTGAAACCTTATTCTATATTCTTCAAGGTAAAACTTCTTCCACCTGATGGTCGTCTCCAATGGCTTTTCAGTAGCGCAGACACCCATTTACCAAATTTGTTTATGTTAGTCTCTTGAGTCGTGTTAGTAACTTTGTCCTACGTGTCTTCCGCTGAGAATGACGCGCACAATCCTTTCAATTTCAGCGAATCTGAGAAAGATCAAATAATCGACTATTACAAATCTTTTATTGAGCACAAGGATCTCCATACAGGTAATTTTCCCGTTTATTTTTCATTTCATGTTGTTCTCTCTCTTTTTGATATATTTTGCTTTCTATATGCTTGAGGTTTCTATTATAGTCCGTGATGCCCTCAAACTCGCCTTCGAAATGTGTGATGAGAACTTATGTAAAGCAGCTTTACCTGACAATCGTGGTCAGATTGATAGGTAAGTGTGAGGGTTAACTTTTTTCGAAGATGGTATTCATTCATTATTCAGTTTACTCAAAGGGAGAAAAGCTGCAATGCGAAGAGCGGCGAAAAAGTAGAATTTTCCGTGCACTTCTGAAAATTTGCATAAGATTTTATCCTGCAGTAGTTAAGAGAATTGCTTTATGCATTTCAGGTTGTCGGTGGCTACGGCCGCTGCGGGTTCTTGTGCCACACTTGCTCATGTACGAAAAGGTAACCTTCATGTAGCTAATGTAGGAGACGGCGCTGCTGTCTTAGGTACGTTTCCGCTTTTGGGTTGTTTTTGGTGTGCTAGCTAACCACCGCGCTTTTCATTTAGGCGTTGTAAACGCAAGCGGCAATGTCATAGCACGGCAACTCTCTAGAGCTCACTGTATAGATAACGCAGATGAGGTGATTTCCTTTTTCGTGCAGTGAGGATCTTTTCCTTTTGAATGCTGGCTTCGTTTAGGTGCAACGGATACGTTCGGAGCATCCCATGTATGAGACGCATATACTTCGAGGAGGGAGATTATTAGGGGAACTATATCCATTACGAGCATTTGGTGACGTGCGGTTCAAATGGCCTTTAGATCTGCAAAAGGTACGCTGTTCTTCTTCTGAGGAAGTATGGGATTAACTTATTTTGATCTAGGTCGTTCTTGAACCCATGGGTAGTCCCGCACCTCCACATCTTCATACACCTCCCTATTTATCAGTCTCACCAGAAGTCTTCTACCATAAACTAACTCCTAATGATAAATTCTTGGTAATTGCCACTGATGGCTTATGGGAATGGCTCGATCCGGATACTGTAGTACGGCTAGTGCATGACCATACACTTGGCACTATGACATTACAACCATATCAGCCAAAGAATGGTATAACACTAAAGCAGGTATTTTATATTACTTTAAAGTCATACTCGTTCTTTATCTAATTTTTCATCTATTTGATATTTTGTTCAGGTCATGATGGACATTCTGGAGCGAAGGATCGGAGCCAAAAGTCATAAAAAGCCTATCGATGAAAATTGTGCCACACATATCATCAGACATGCGCTCGGTGGAGTAAGCGGTGGAGAGAGCAAACAGTACGAAAGGTTGATCGATATTCTACAGGTTTGTGTCTAAAATTATATTACTGGTTTTTTCCGCACCCAGCGATGCACTTCAATGTGCATTCTGCTTGTGCTCATTCCATCTCAAAAAGTTCAATAAGCATGCCGCTTTGATTCTATCGAAAGCAAACGGGCAATGCCTGCATTTCTTGCTTAAACGAATGGCTCGGCAAAGTGAACCCCTGTCAGATTTTGGTGGTGTTAGATAGTGATAGACACCCTCAACCCCCCTTCAAGTGCAACGTTGCCGCACCGCATCTTTGAGTTCACTTCTGGATAGCCTGAAAACGCGCTTCATAAACCCACCACTGACGCTTACTCAACTGAGGTGGGCGAGGCATGGGCCTCGACGCGTTTTTAAACTTTAGGAAATGGAGGGTAATGTGGAGACTACAGTGTACTCGGGGGTCTACAACATTATCAGAATCTGACTGGCGTCCATTTTGTCAGGCCTCTGCATCTTTTCCTTCAAAGGCAACACAATAAGTCAATTATTTTGGCACATTTTTCTTCAGATACCTCCTGGACGGGCTCGTAATTATCGTGACGACATTTCCGTTATAGTGGTACATTTCAATGAAAAGTATCTAGCAGATGAGGAATCTGTCTCTTCCCTAGAGGCGATGGAGATGCAAGCTAAATAGCACTTCTTTGAAAGTCAAGAACATTCTTGTTTGAATAGGGATCATATCTATTTGCTGTATAATATTGCAATTGATGAAATGCTCTCCAGGCGCATAGTCACATCTCGTATATGGTTTCTGTCAGTGTAGTTAGGTCTTGTGTAGTATTGTGAATGTTGATATATGCGTCTAGGAAATATTCTTCCAGTATTAGACGACAATTGACTATATAGACGGGCTATTTTGTAAGAATAAATGCTGAATCGCTTTATATCACATTATCGTTCTAGTATGCAAATCTGATAGAGCTACGATATAATGAGCTTTATGCAAAAAAAAAGGAGCATTTGAAGTCACAACTGTATGCAGATAATTAGTTTCCCGTTCAGACAATCAAACTTGAAGACCATAGACAAATTTACAACTATTGCTACAGTAACAATGACTAGCGCATGTATGGTTGCTGCTGTGGTGGTGCTTGTTGCTGCTGATACATCAATTGTTGCTCGTAGCCATGCGGCGGATAAGCTCCCGGCATCACTTGCCCAGGTGGGAGACCTTGTGGACCTGGTGGCAGTCCTTGTGGTGGATAACCATAAGGTTGCGGTGGTCCCATTGCCATACCCATTTGTGGCTGCGATGTCGGCGGCATGGCGGCTACGGACGGTTGCATTTGCATGACTGGTGGAGGCATCATTGCTTGTGAAGTAGGTTGTGGCGGCATTGCGTATGGTGAGGACGTTACGGGTGGAACGGCTACAAGGGGAACCGCTGGAGCCGCTGATGCTGGAGGTGCATTCGCTTCAGAAACTGCAGGCGTTGACTGCAGATTCTCATCGTTTGGAGCGTTTTCATCCTAAGAATGGAATTAAACATTTCTGCTATGAAGAAGATTATAGCCTGAGAGTCTCGATATTGAGCATGCAAGACGTAAAGAATTTACAAAAAACAATGTGAATATCGTGGCATTATTACGTGGTAAGATAAGTTCTGTTTCAATTGAAGGAAAATGCTTCGTAATATCTCAGAAAAATTTTCCTCATTATCAAATTACTAAAGCTTGTGGCTTTTCGATATTAACTTTATTTGAAACTCATTCTTAATCTTTCCAGAATACCGAAATTTTCTTGGCAAATTTACAATTTGCGTTACTGAAAAGTTCAAGCTCCTTAACTGCTTTTTTGTTAACGCTGACACTTCCGAAATTCCATAAAAATCCAAGAGCAAAAAGAATGAGTGTTTCTGAAAAAAAAAGAGGGCCGAAGTGCTATTGCCCATGCCCATGTTTGTAAAGGTCAAAATTATTCTAAAGGATAACAATTTCTCCCTTCCTAATGTATGCCAAATAAGAGACTTTGCCAAAGACTTTAGAAGTTTCAGAAAAAGACGAGAAAATGCAAGAACGAAACTTATGTTACGACCTAATATTTGAAACTTTCCAAAAGAACAAACGCACCCTGAGTTGTGCTAGCAAAGACTGATCTGCTGCTTGTGCGAGGTGAATTAGATTTCGATGTAAAAGCTGCTGATACTTCGCCGCTTCTTCGGTACGTCCCTACAATTCCGATTTCACCGTCTAAGTTAGTAAATAACAAATAAATACAAACCATGCTCAGGTAATCTCTAATTGACTTGATTAGTGATGAGTTTTCATTGAGTAATGCCTGTACCGTACTGCGATGATCAGGCACGCCTTGTCGCACATCTTGTGGAGCAAATGCAAGTGACATCGAAAAAAAGACAAAGTTTAGACGGAACAAATTTCAAAAAAGAAAAATGGAAAAAAAAATTCAAAAAGGTTATGCAGCAGTTATGGCAGTTCCAATCAAACAGATATATAGCTACACCAGCAATTAATCTTTATCTCTCTACGATACGAGTCGAATGCACATTGATTTACAGAAGTCCTCCTACTCTAGTAGCTCTACTTGGTGCTGACACGTGTTCTCTTGTTCCATGCAAAGTTCCAACCATAGCTTTTTGGAGAAATCACGCGATTGTGCTCTTTCTAAAAAAAACGACGTCTTCTGCTGACCCCAGAGCTATGACAACTCACCTCAACCTCATAGTTCCATCGATTTTTCTTACAAAAATCGATTGCATCCTCTTTGCTGGCGAATTTTAGCGACATCGCTATATTCGACAATGGATCTCCACTGAAAATCACCAAACTGATATATCAACTTCTAAATAAAAATGTTCTCAACTAATAACTGAACAAATCTTTATAACAAAAAGAACTATCCCAAACATTTACCTGCTGGCCCATCCTATCAACGGATTCTCCCAACGTTGACGATTATCTACCTCGATATGCCAAGCCTAAAAAGAGCACGATAACGAAAAGGGAAATGTGTCTCGTCTATCTTTAGAAAGCTTACTTTAGTGTTATTCCATGCCGCCTGAGTTGATTCACGGGCAGCTCGATATATTAACACTGTTCGCTCTTCGGTATGCTCCGGAGGCCTACCGCCAATATCTGCCGCCTCGTCATTCACTACCGGAACAGGAACCTGAAGCAAGCTTGAATAGCATATAGCTCAAAAACGGTATGCAGAGAAAGGGAATCATTCAAAGAAGTTCACAAGTACACATAAGAAAAGTATTTTTTGATCAAAGTGGCTTTACTTTATGGTATTTATATGGTTTGAAGAGCATTTAATGCTGATTTCAAGTCTTCTATCTGCTGTGCTTTTCACCTGAGTTAGGAAGTTTTAGAATCTGATCTAACTGATCTGATATATAGAGAATCGTTAGCTAAATGCAAAAGCCTTCCAACAGCGGGAAACCGCGGCGGGTCTGGAAGCGAACGCTCTTCCAATAGCACTTTTACTACTGGCTCACTAGTCGAAAAAAAATAAAGGGGCAGCTATACCAAAATCGCTCAAAACCTTTCAATTAAGTCAGCGTTGTGTATGAAAGCTTTATGCAATTAATACTTTCTATCTGGTATACTCACAGTCGCGGGTGCTTTCTTCGAACACTGGAGGGACGTAATCACTAATTTTTATCCAGATCATGCGTTCATTTCACAATCAGAAATACCCTTTTAACTCGTCCTCTAGAGGCGTGCGTCAGATACCACCTACGGGTTTCAGCCTCACATTCTCTACACGGTGTAAAGCTCATAAGGCCACTCCGATCAAAAGACCTCCTGTGGCCGTATTCATCAACGAAACCCGTGGGTTTCGGAACCCACTGGGTTAGTGCTTTTGATGAATATCGATTCTACTCCAAGAAAGAATCGATATTCATCAAAAGCACTAACCCAGTGATTCCGGAACCCACGGGTTTCGTTGATGAATACGGCCACTGGTCAGTAAGTTTCGAATGCAACATTGCTTGAACGTATTCCATTCATTGCACAATATCGAAGATGATTGATAAGCTTGAATTAAACTCAACGAAGCACAAAAAACAGCCGCTCACCTTCGGAACACTAGGTTGGAGAATCTCGTCAACTTCCTTCCGCTTAGCGTCATGAAGACGAACCACTGGCAGATTGTCTTTACCTGGCACACCGTCTTGACCCGATGCTAGTGTTCGAACTTGTAATCGACGTACAGCCACCGGAATGAATGAACGTATCATCTAGAAAATGCAAGACATTATTTGAGATGTTTCCGAACTTTTTGAAGCTTATGAGAACCATCGCAACACTTTCCACAAGAGAAAAAGGAACTAATCATGAAATATTATCAAGGAGGCTTTTCTCCGGTGAAAACAAGGCTAAAAAATTTACGATTTTTCGCCAGCCATTTGATCACACGATGCGATTCCGATTTTCCGAGAATACGACCGCGCTGCAACCGCCGGAGCATTCACAGCATTATTCCCGATTGGAGCACATTTAATTTTGTAATATTTTGTGCAAAATAAGTGTTTCGTTTTTATTATCCATCATCATTCTGGTTTCTGTGTTCCTGATCTCATTTAGAGATTTTGTTCTTGATAGTTTTGTTTGTTATGTTATCATTTTGAGTTAACAATTATGCGAGAAGATGCTGTCATCGTTGGTGTCCGTCGTTCACTAACATTTGTTCATTCCATATTCTCAAGCGCATCCATTGTCGCAGTTTTTTTTACTACAAATCTCCGATCATTCCTATATCTTCTCCGTTTTACTTTTACTTACATTTACATTTTTCATCACATTTTCATTACTTTTTATGTTTCTCATATTGTTCTCATGTTCGAATTAGAAGCTTTTGCAGTGGGACTACAATTTTGTGGACACATAACTGTCTATCTTATTATCTCACAGCCATATATGGTCCAAGTTTTTATCTGCAATGGATATCTGGTTTTCTATCAAGTGTCGACTTAAAACTCATCACTTCCTAATCCTACCTTGCACCCGCTCATTTCATCTTATAAAGACTACAGCATTCGTTGAAGTACATATATAAGGATTTGACACGCAAAGACTGGGCGCCGTTGCGTCTGACCAAGATAGTTCGTGCATGGGAGAGACAGCAGATGGTAAAAGAAACGAAAGAGCGCACGAGAGCCAGGGCCCGGCACAGATCGTTTAGAAGCAGGCTGGACTTCGTTTTTGGAGCAAAAAGCAAAGGGGACTTCGTTTTTGCGGGGACCGGGGCGGAGCCCCGGAAAAAATTTTTTTGCACATGTTCACTAGCGCGACATGTGGTGCAAATCTGCATATGCTGTGTGCAAGCTGATGCCATCCCCAATGAGGACATCTGTTAGATATGTATATCAAAAGTTTGCATGCAAACAATTTTCCACTAAGAATCAGCTATACCTGCTTACAAGAACAAAAAAAATTGAACAATTCATTTTGGACAAGAAGTCAAATGATCATTCATAGTTGATATAATTAGTTAACTACATGCCTATATGATGCACGCAGTACTTATTCATTGAGATCTTTAAGACATATGCCCTATTTGCTTCTTTGTGAAATCCTTGATTAGCTTGGATGGTTAGGCCTTCGTTTTAGCTGACTGCCAAGAGCTCATTTGCCAAAAAATCTCTATAATGCAGTTCTTAACTTGTGATATTGAACATGCTTTGCTCATTTCAGATGCGTTTCAGCGTGTGCAGACTTCTGACGGCATATATCCAATCTTTATCGCTCTGAACTCCGCTTCAGCCTCCTCAACGGGAAATGGCATTTGATAGGTTGTACCACCTAAAGGATACTCTTACTTCAGGGAGAAAGAAACGAGTTCTGAAGTGTAGTTGTGCGAGCATAAGAATGAAAAACATAGCACGCAAATATCAAGTCGATAGAGTATCAGATAAAATAAGTAAAGTTATCGAAATGTAATCAGAGAACATTTTCCTAACTGATGTAAGTCTAACAAAACGTATATCAGAATATAGACGAGCTAGAAAAAACGAAGTAGCTTACTACCTCTAGTAACTCCCTGCAGCTTCATGAGAGAAAGACAATACGCTATTGCTTTGCGTGCAATTACGAACGGATCCAACTCAATTTTGCTTTGAAAAGTTCAGAAAATACCCTTCTCAATGATGAACTTGACAAACTTCCGTACCTTCTCTTCTTCAGTTTCAGCCTTACACCAAGCCTTACACTGCCGACTTTCAATAATTTCCAGAGGTGCATAAACATGATGTCGAGCAGTTTCTTTCCAACCACTATTCATTATCACTCGTGTCAGTTTATCTATCTGAATGACAAATAAAAAAACAACGAAGCTATACGAAAGTCGTCGTCTACGTCTAATAACGAGAGCAGCACTCACTGTGTGTCTCTGCAGAACACTGAGTGTCGTTGCTTTGCATTGCATTCAGAAATAAAAAGTTTTGTTTGTCATTCTCTTCCAAAGGTTGATGCATCTGAATTTTAGATGCGAAAGAATGGAAAGCACGATACTGATGTAAAAGCCCAGCTAAACCAAAGAATCAAAAGGTTTCCAAACGTCGTTGATGTTTGCCACAGGATTTCGAAACAGGGGCGGGTCACACGATTATTCTATTCATTCTTCTACGACAAACATTTTGATACAGTATATCAAAATAATATTTTGATAGGAAACAAAATACATGTTTGAATGTGAGAGACAACAATTTAGTTTTCGAGCGATAGCGCAATGACCGGAATAGTTCTTGTGTTGATGCACAAAAGACGAATTTACACAAGAAGGACTAAAACTATACTATAGCAAGATAAACTAATGAACATAAAGAAAAATATGATATGTACTCACGCTGCGTAACCACGTGCATATGCAGAACAGCATGTTCTTCTTCTCAAGCACTACCATCAGATAGCAGTCCAATGCCTATCAGATAGCAGTCCAATGCCTTAAAAAACCATTAGAGGCTCAGTTGTGTCAAATGATTGCTCATGATGAAGTCATCTAGCTTTTCAGCCAAACTTCTCTACATATATGCGTTTACTGAAAGCATCTGTGGTAACTATGGATTACAAGTATCAAGATAAAATGTCACTATCTCAAATTATTGCACAACAGAGAATCCAACCGACATACCCAATTCGCACAAAAGCAACTCACTTCAACATTCGTTTTCTTCCAACAACCGCAAATCATGAAAGAAGCAAATGTTCGCGATTTCCTTAGTGTTGGAACACATACGGCTGACCTAACCTATATACATAACTTGACAGTGAGTGGAACAGAAATAAGAAAGCATATTTACCACAGTGTGAGACCAATCATTTCCTTTCCTTCTATATCCTGTAATGTCGCTGAATCAAAGCATTTCTTTCAAACCACGAACTCGCGCATCGGTCCTTAATATATCTCGTGAGTATGGAAGCGAATGAACCATATGCAACGTATCATGGATGAATATGAACGATGATGGATACAAGCTTTCCAGACAGGTTATCACACGACTGAAATGCTCTATCGTGTATGGCGAAAAGTGCGCGCGATTTGAAAGTAAGTCTAAAATAAACAAATCGCTTGTTTACAGCGCACACACAACCATATGGCACCAAAATTGAACTGTATACATAGAAAATTATTTGCGGAAGAATTATGTGAAAAGTTTTGAAAACTTATGTGAAGTAATACGTTTTCCAAAATTAGATCGTCTCCAGACGGCCACCAGACGATCTGAGATCGTCTGGAGCATATATTTCCGTTATTTCACATAAGTTTTGGATCTTTTCAGCATGGACGGATGCCCCGTTCAAAAATCTATCCCTGAGCATAAAAACATTTTCATATCATTGCCTTTCCTTCGTTTTTTAGCTTCTTTTTTCCGAAATTCGCGATGTTAGATATCGCGCCCCACCGCCAATTCCGCGTTGCTCCGAGCGAAAACTTTGGTGTTTCCTTCGTCCGTTGTTGTCGTTCTAATTCTTTCATTGTCGTCTTTGATTTTTGCATTGTGCTTTTGATTCGTTCTATATTGAATTTCAGGACATTGTGCGATTAGCCACTGACATGGAAAAAGTAGAATTGGCAAAAGAGATCGCTGATGTCAACTATGAATCGGTTAGTTTTCTTCTTGGATTTTGCAAATCACGTTCATTTTTTGTTACTTGTCTGTGTTTTTCCCATTTTATCTCTTAATGCACTAATTTTGGCGAGCTTGACCCGGTAGGTTGTCTTCCATTTGTTTTTCGTGGCCCTTGAAGCTCCGCGAAAGTATTTCATTTAGACTGGGCAACTGAATGAATTCACTGAGCGCACATCGTGGCCACATGAAGTGCTGTGCATGAGTTTGAGCGAGCTTAGAAACTGCTTGAGCACCCTAGTTGCGATGGCTGAAGATGAAAATGTGCCTGTGGCTTCTGTCGATGACGAGGTAAGTTTGAATTTGAACATTATTGAGGTTATGATTTCAATTTTGCCTGCGTTTCATCTCATTTCCTGGGAGAAATTACAGAAATGGAGCAGCAGTAAGTCTTCTGTGAAGATCTAGAGCTCAACCATACGAATTCAGTCGTTTTCTGCTATTATATGTACTGATCTTGTGTTGATTAGTGAGTCTAATGAGGTAAATTTCCCGAACTTTAGTGCACAGCCCATCAAAGTTTATGGCTGGTTGAAGTCGATTAATGACTAGGTTGAGGGTCTATCGCAAACTGGCACGGAAAAATCGCAAGGTTCAAAAGATAATATTATACGGATTGATAAGGAAAATTGTCGCACCGATGAGTACTTAACGAGAGAATTGAAAGACAGTGAGGTAAAAAGAAGTCATAGTCTTATCTTTCATCCTTATCCGTTTGTTACGTTAGGTAATCCATTCTAAAAAGCGTCCATTCAACTACAACGAAGCTAGTCAAAAGCTTCAGTCAAGTGGTTGCAACAGACGATGATGGATATGCTATACAACTGAAGGATGAACTGGACCGAGTCTTCTTAGGAGCGAGGTAAGGCGTGTTTCCCTCAAAGGGTTGATTTTCGAGTTTCTGTGACGCTTGTTCTCCTTCCATTTGTTTTTCATCAAATGTGAATTGAACTTGTACTTGTAGCATGTATTTTGATTGATTCATGTAGCCTGCTATTCCTTCCTTCACAACAAGCGCTTCATATTGAAGTCTCTTGGTCTTACCTTGCCTTCCTTTTTTTGACTGACTTTGACTGGGAAAGTGAATTTAGCTTATGGTCTGTTTGACGTTTATGAAAACGAAATAATGCTGGAGTTCTCAAGCTACCCTACATCGTTGATATTAGGAGGGGGTAGTGGCTCGTGGCAGGAGTTTTTTTTTGGAACGAGGGAGCTCGCATTAGCCATGGATTCCAAACATTTTTGGAATGCTTTTCTAGTGTTTTGCGGTCTATAGCCGGGTGATTTCCAAAAGCGAGCGTGGAGGCAGCCACTTCCAAAAGTCTTTTTACAATAATTCGGTCGCACATTCTTGTTGGTGCCAAAGCTTACACTGATATTGTTTCAAAAGCAGGGGGTCTGGCAAAAGAAGTCAAAGTGCATTCTCTACATTTAAAATTGAGCATTAGATGGGATTTACTTGCATAGAAAATGACTACTTACCGGGTGTACTTGAGTTTTTTTTGTGTATCTTTGCAATGTTTGGAGGTAAAAGGCTATCATCCGTTCACCAAGATGTTTCTCGGTGTGGATATTGATACATCGATTTGCATCATTGGTACTTAGCTAAGTCGGATCCGTCTTACATGTGAGGCCTTTTTGTGAAGTAATGCCGGCTGTCATACATTGCATTGGTACACACTCCTTTTTTCTTGAAAAAAAACTTTATTTCTAAGATTTTCGACAATGTTCCGTTGTAGTTGTCATCGCAGATTTTCACATCAGTTTTTCAAGGTGGTTTTGAAATACACTACCTTCAAGGTTGCGAGAGTTGAAAATTTTAGAGCTTAGACAACGAAAGATCTGTGTAGCGTTATCACAATCTTTCAGCTTTACACCTGTCTGCAAAACCACCACTCTAAGCGTGTTTGGATCGCCATCCCTTGACTCCCTCGCGCCTTCTGACAAGGACGGTCGTACAGCTAGAGGAGAGATAAGTATAATGTTTGTCATTTTGTTTTTGTTTTTTGTCTTTTGATTATTCATCCATTTCATTGAAAATCGTTGCAGTCTGAAAGCTCCACTATGCGTGAACGCATGGACCAGGCTTTCGAAGCTTTATGTGATGTGCCAAGAATTATGAAGTTAATAAAGTTGTTCCCTTGAGATATAGTTCATTTATAAAATCGTGACGACGGATTTTACTGCGGACTTCGGATTTTGCGCCCACAGATGCATAAAACGCTCATACAAGAGGGCATCACCTCAACGTTCAGCTCAGTCACTTCCAGTTATCTAATTGTTATCACACTTGGACAAAAAAACAGTTCGAAAAGAGATGAAAGCCGAGAAAATGCCATTTCCTCAAGTGACATGCGTGTCGCGCGCGGTCGCGTCACACAATTTTCAAATACTCTATACCTTTGTTGGCTTCTCGGTGGAGGTGGGGGGGGGGGGTAGGGCAAGGGTCAAAGGGGACTTCGTAAAATTCTTGAAAGTCAGGGGGGACTTCGTTTTTGAAAACCCTAGAAACGGACTCGTGCCGGGCCCTGACGAGAGCCCCCCGACATACTATCCGTAGTCTTTGCGTGCTACGATTCTACGGAACCTTCTATTTGGGGGGATGCAATATCTTGATTAACAGCTGGAGACGCTATAAAAATTTGTTATTTGCTCATGTTGTACCCTACAGATGCACAGCCTTCTTCTCTTCATCATCTCTATCCATTATGAATTGCTGCAATGAATGGTACTATTCCAGTATACCGACCCCAAAAATTAAAAATCTCGGACTTCGCTCAAACTCGGTATAGGGGGGTTATTTGATCCGCTGATGCCGAATATTATATTGATTCCGTGCGATAGCGCCAATTTCTTGGGTTACGGTGGGCGTACGGTAGGGGGTCATTACACAAAATTCTCTGGAACTCGGTGCAGGGGGCTTTTTTGACATGCTGAACAAGAATACGGTATTCATTTGTTACGATAGCTTTTCATTCCGAGGTTACGGTGAGTATACGGTAGGGGGTCTAAATCACAAAATGGTGCAGGACGATTCGTACGACCGTAAGAATTTCCACACAGGACCACCGCCGCGTGCGACGCATCCTGCGGCGTTTGCCTAAGCAAAGCAGAGGGAGGAAATTTGCGGCGTGCGTGACCTGTTGAGACAAGTTAAAGCCGGTGCAGGCTGGTTATTGGACATGCTGAACATGAATGTGATATTCACTCGGCAATGTCTTAAATTTCAAGCCTTGAATCTCGACTTAGCGGTAGTATTCGTAATGTATGCCCACCGTAACTTCGGAATGAGGCACTACCGTAACTAGTCAACATTATAATCGTGGTCAGCATGTCAAATAACCCCACAAGAAGTTTTAGCAAAAAACATGATTTTGGCCCCTTACCGTATACCCACCATAACCCCGAAACGAGGAGCTTCCGTAACGAATGAATATCGTATTCGTGTTTAGCATGTCAAGTAACCCCCCTGCACCGAGTTCCAGAGAATTTTGTGATTTTGACCCCCTACCGTATACCCACCATAACCCCCGGAAAATGGCGCTACGGACGGAACCGATATGATATTCGGCATCGGCAGATCCAATAACCCCCCTATACCGAGTCTGAGCGAAATCCAAGATTTTTAAATTCTGGGGTCGGTATACTGGAATAGCGGTTAGGGTTCTTTTTAGTGACCTTCCCCATAAGGGTCAAAGAGGATTTCGTAAAATTTTGTGAAAGTCAGGGGGAGTTTTAAAAACCCAGAGGGCTCATGATGGGCCCTGACTACAGTCTGCTTCAGCTGGAACCGTACATATATTTCGAATCTATAGCCTGACAGGAATGACAGATCACGCCTGCGTGACGTGAATCGTGTTCTTCCTGTCATATATTCTCGGGCGGTCTTCTTACAGGTCGGAATTGTTCTAGACATGGCAACCACCAAAGAGAGGAAGGTGAAGATGGAGATTGGGGAGCCTGATATAATAATTGAGGAGGTAAGTTAGTTCAATGAAACCTGCTCGATATGGGTTTCCTCTTATTCATGTGCCTGCACAGTCTGATAGCAACGTTTGACAGGCAATGGCTATGAAATTGCCAGAGGAACAACTTGGGTATCTACAAATTTCAAATCATCCCGTTACCAAATTTTTGTCATTTTCTTTCAAAAGCCCTTCCGCAATGAATCCTGCCTGGATCGTTCTATTTCCATCAAGATCTTAGAGCAGATTCAGTGGCGATACGTGATACACGTCATATTGAAAACCACCTGCCTTTACGCTGCTGCCTGATGTATGTCACACAGTACTCCGACTTTTGCTCTTTATCACTCCGTACTGTTGCAATACGTTATCTTCATCTGTATCGCTATTTTTTTTTATCATTTGCGTTTTGTCAGAGTAGTCAAGGGGTTTCTTGGCATGTGCAAAACGAGGGTCATCCCTTATCACCTAGTATGATGGGATGTCTACCATATCAAAGAGCACAAAATGCTGATTCCAAATCTGCCCTCCATATCTGCGGAACATTCATGCACGAAGAGTTATGAGCTTTTATTAAAGCAAAAAATACATCTGCAAATAGGACAAAAATTGTCGTAATGTTTTTGCGGTACTTTTCTGTTATCCGCACCCATTTCTTCAAGATTTTCCCATGACGTGCTTCAAGCTAGAAATTTTTCTCATAGAACTTGTGAGGACCCTTGCCCCGTGTCAATAAATAATGAACACGTTTGGGGCCAGTTTGACATGTTTTTAAAGGTAGCGTCCACCAAATCTCGACATACTGGGTTCTGATGTGGAAAGTAATTGTGGGGCCCTAACTAAGACACTGCCCAAGCGGCAGCTCAAATGGTGAGCTCACAGTTGAGATATTCGCCTCCAAACTGGACCCGTGGATCGTTTTCGCATGGATTCATGGTGCCACACATCAGTTTCGAGCGAGGATCACGCGTGTCGCGCCACGAATCCATGCGAATACGATTCAGGGGTCCAGTTTGAAGGCGAATATCTCAACTGTGAGCTCACCATTTGAGCTGCTGCTTGGGCAGTGTTTTAGTTAGGGCTCCAAGATTACCCTCCAAGTTAGGTCCCCATAAGCCCAGGTTTGCCTGGACGCTGCCTTCAAAATCATGTCCACTGAGGTACGAGAGCCTTAAAATGACTCGAAAGTTGTTCAGAGTTTTTGTAAAAGCAAAACAGTTTCAAACGTTTACTAAAACATTTTGGTAGCTTTCAGGAATGATTTAGAGAAAGATGCTCTTCAGGTTGTTTCCGCCATGCGAGTTTAGCCGGGAAATATAAATGATGGCTTCAAGTACCTGACTGCCGATTATCTCGTATTTTACTTTTGTGCTTTGGGAAAACCCAATGTGTTTATTAAGCACAGGATGTCTTTTTTGTAATTTTAAAGCTCATTCATAAAACTGATGACTAAAAATGAGGTCATAATGAAAACAGATTGAACTTCCATTGATTAGTAGGCTAAACAAACTCTTGTTAAAAGCTATTAAACATGAGACAGAGACATGTCAATTTTTTTGACACATACCAGGAGTTGACTTTCCATCCTGTGAAGTTTTCAATAAATTTGGTACAAGGAAAAAAGCAATATCCTTTTTTTTGAAAAAAAAGGCTCAGGAAAAGGATAACGGACAAATATCGTACGCTTGGAGCAGTGTTGATATCAGAGCACTTTATTCAATAAATATTCTCAGATAAGAAAACATATCACACCTGGTTGCTATGTAAAGGCTAGTGAGAGTTTGCAACTCATTTTATTCTAGATTCACTTTTTCTTTATTGCTTCTATAGGTGTTCATAACTCATCGTCCACAAACGTACCGCAGATAAAGAAGGCAGATTTGGAATCAGCCATTTCATGCTGTCTCATGTGGTATACATCATATCTTAAAAGGCCACTTCGACTAAACATGGTTTCCTTGTAAGCAGCTTTGGCGACCCCTAGCCGTTCAGGGACCCGTCATACTTCGCCGAAAAAAAGCCCAAAGAAGCTCAAAAAAGCCTAAAAAAGCTCGAAAGAGCCGGAACGCTCCTTCCAGTTTGACGCTAAGGCACGTGTGTTGATTTTTCAACCGAGTCTCTTGGATGGAGGAACGAACACCTCAGTTAGGTACCGCCTCCGCGGACCAATGGTCCCAACACGATGTACAACAGTAGGACGAAAAGACCAGTAGCCCGCAGAAGCGGCGCCTATTGAGGTGTTCGTACCTCTACCCTGATAAGTATCATCGACTCCACGATTCGTGTAGAGGCGGGATTTTGACTCAAAGCGTGGCTTTTTATTAGGGAGAGAGTAACAAAAACAATGCTATGAAGTGGAGGTTTGAAAAGTTCATCCTTGAAATCAGGGAAAGTCCGCAACCCGCCTCTATACGTCGAGGAGACGATCATACACTGCACAGCACGCGCGTCCCAGGTGTCTTCAAAATGTCAATTTTCAAGCGTATCTCTGTTCCCGTCATTCTTCATTCGGCGCCTTCGGGTGGGCTCAGGTGGGTTGCGGTGGGTGCAGTCGGATTTGAGACGGTCTGAAGCTTACCTTAGTCAAAGTCACCTCTCTTAGTCGAAGGTTAGCACGAGAGGCAAGCGATTTCTGCTATCCGGTAGACTGCCTGGGTGTGGTTGCAGGCAGATCCATTTCGAACTCCAGTACTCTTAAAGGCAGCAGCTCGGCAGATTTTCAACTTCGGGGTTTTGGCACATTTGGGGCTACTCCGGCCCCCTGAATCACGATATGAACTCCCCTTAGCGCGAAAATGAGGAAAACCCCTTCTTTTAAAACCCCCTTGAGACGGGCGCGGACGAGTGAGCCGTTTTCTCTGCCGTCAGAGACGCAGAGTAAGGAGTTAGAGAGCGCTAGAGCAATTCTGCCCTAAGAAGCTACGAGTGACGGCGCGTTTTCTAGCGGATAACACACTCGTCCGAACAAGGTGTTAGGGGAGCGAAAGGAGGAGGGGGAGCGGCGCTTGGGCCGCCCCCCTGGCTTGCAGAGTTCACATTTTCGGCGCGGAATTGCTGTTTTGGTTCACTTGGAGGGCCTCCTATCCATCTGTGTCAAAATCTGAGGTAGGTCTATTCTGCCGAGCCGCTGCCTTTAAAGGCAGCGTCCAGGCAGATCGGGACTTATGGGGATTTCACGTGGAAAGTACTTTTGGGGCCCTAACTAAGGCACTGCTCAAGCGGCAGCGCAGGTAGTGCTCTAACGGCTGAGATATTCCCCTCGAAACTAGACCCCGCGATCGTATTCGCATGGATTCACGGCAGTTTCGCGCCACCCACGCTTTGCGCCATTAATTCATGCGAAATACGATCGCGGGGTCCAGTTTCGAGGGGAATATCTCAGCCGTTAAAGCACTACCTGAGCTGCCGGTTAGGCAGTGGCTTTTTAGTCAGGGCCCCAAAATCACTATCCACGTGAGATCTCCATGTGTCCAGATTTGCCTGGAGCTGCCTTTAAAGGCAGTGTCCGGGCAAAAACTTAGTTTTGATTTGTCCTTATACGGGCCTATTCGCCATGCTGAATCCGAAACTCCACAGTGGAGAGTGCGAAAACGGCAAAATAGAGCTCAGCGTAGGAGGAAAATAGCAAGTGGGCGGGGTCCTCTTCGCTGTAAATTCACGCTCCCAGCTTCCAGAGCGATCCTCTCGATTCCGCTAGCCACTCTGATATCGCTACCGGCCAAGTGCAAATGACTGACTTGAAACAGGAAGCGAGAAGATCGCTCCGGAAGCTGGGAGCGTGAATTCACAGTGGGGAGGACCTCGCCCACCCGCTGATTTCCCTCCCGTGTTAGAGCCGTTTTTCGCCGTTTTCGCGCTCTCCAATGTGCATTTTCGGACTCAGCGTAGCGAATAGGCCCGGGTAAGCAAAAAATCTCAAGATCGAGTTTTTGTCCGGACACTGCCTTTAAGGCCAGGCCTCATTGCGTTCTTGTTTCCTGTATTAGTAGGCATATTGGCAACTTTTGATGATTCTCTCCTACCATCTTGAGAAGAAGGACGGTTCTTGCGTCCAGGTCGTTCGTTTTGAAGATAGGAGGTTTGAACGGGAATAGACATTGTACTTTCCAGCTCGCCAAGGCCTGATGAAAAATTGGTTAAGATGGTCTGTAGATAGTGGATCGCTTTCCAGCAGAGGAGAACTTGGAGGTATCTGCAGTGAGAACAACGAGGGTTGGCATAGGCGTGATGAGCGGGAGATGTTGGTCAAATTGTTCGCGACAGGTATCTTCTGTCGGAAAAATGTCAGGCTTTCTCGCACGAGTCGTAGTGGCGCACTCTTTGTACCCTCGCAAACCTTTCGGGATCGGCCATACTATTCCTGCTATTCCTACGACTCCTGCGATTCCTGCGATTCCTGTGAGTCCCGCACAGTTTGACGCCGCTTAAATGAGCGCGTGTTGCGTAAAACAACACGTAACACGCAACACGCGCTCATTTAAGCGGCGTATAAACTGTGCGGGAAACACAGGAATCGCAGGAATCGCAAGAGTCGTAGGAATAGCAGGAATAGTATGGCCGATCCCTTCAAAAGCCTTGTAGTCACTCGGGTTCCCCTCAATAGTTCAGTCATTACTTGGTCGTAGTTCCTGTAACCTTTGATGAGCTATTGATAGTACATATAGGACGTAGACGTCGGATGGCCAGTCAAAATGAGAAAAACTCATGCGCGTAGATAACTTGGACGAAGGATGGAAGGAAATCTCCAACGTTTTCAAAGTTTCGTAGTGGAACTTTTCTTACCGCCTATGATGAAATTCCTAGCACTCACTTTTGCACATCTTTCTGCCCAATTTTTGTTTTCTGTTGAGTCATGAATGCGGCAGCTCGGCGGCGTGGAGACAGTCCTGGCATTGAACAGAGCATATGACATTTTTACGTAGCGAACTGTCGTGGCAAATGTAGTTTTTTCTGCAAGTATTATATCTTTTATGAGATGACAAGAATCTCGCTGAAGAGGGTGGTATCATCCTTTTTTAGCTATAGAGTAGGCCAGATGCGCTGGCGTATAGCGAGCGCCATGTGATCGTCCAATGCTAGTTCATAGCTGCCATCTAGTTGGTCATCATGGGTCCTCCCTCTGTAGCTGGAAAGGAACAATACTTTGTTTAGTCGTATGTAAAGCAGCATAGCTTTATCTGATTAGTTCGGCGGTTATAGGTGGTTTATAACATCAGTTTTGCCCGGGGATATGTTTTTGTGAAGATTGTTTATGCTGTCTGTGATGTTCAGTCATGTATTCATTTTTTTCGCAATAATGCTAAATCTGTGCTTTATCTGTCTATCGTAACTTCGCTACAAGGTTTCTATTTAGTAGCACCCACGTCTAAATATTTACAACAAGGCGCGAGTCAATAGCAACATTTCGTGCAATGAAAATCCTCGACCAAACCTGCCTTGTCTGGAACATTTTATTGTTTTTTGTTAGTAATCGTTCTGTTTCCAGCCTCTTACTGCTCCAAAAACAGAACCTATGGACGTCAAGCCCACCGCAACTGACGCAACTGCTGAGCCAGGTGTAGGCCTTGTTCATCTCGGTGATGCCGGTCTTGAAGATGAAGATGAGGAGCTGGACGAAGAAGGTAATGAATCTGAAGGAGATGAGGTGGGTGCTGGACATCTGCAGATCTCTCCTCAGAATATTCACACTTACGTTGTAGGTGGAAAGCATAGTGGATATAAAAATACAAAACGGTATCTTCAAGTATCGTGTACGATGGGTTGGCTGCAAGCCAAGTGAGGATACTTGGGAGCCGGAAGAGAGCTTCACAGGTTTCTCTTCTTGTATTATCGGTCAACCCTACCTGTCCTTGCTTTCTTTTCCATATGAACTTTTGACTTGGTGGTAATTCTTTTTTTTTTTGTTCAGGATCCGAGAGTAAGGCGTTACTGGAAGAATATCGGCAAGTTCACAAGGACAGGGTAGAAGAGCTACTACAGAACGAGAGTAGGTGGTCACCTGTTGCTCAATGTTCTTATCAAACAAGGCGCCATTGTTAAAATTATTTTTATCTTTTCATCAATGCAACTCGTACCAATCTTCATAATTTTCAGAAAACAAGAGAGCTAGAAGGACTAGAAAGAGTGGTCCGCGATGGGAGTATGTCTCCGAAATTGTAACAAGAGAGGTATTGTGAATTATCAATAACTAACGATATCTTATGGAATGCCTCAGGATTATCTGAATGTAGAACGAAATATTTTAGGACACTCTGAAACCCCGTGAATTGCAGTCAGATGATGTGTTTTATGGACAGACGGCTGCTGAAGTAGCGGCAGCGTCTGGTGAACTGAAGAAATTGTTTGATCCTACGCATAAAAACACGGCAACGGAACTGGTAAGCAATAGAATTTTACATTCGAATTGCCCTCAGAATTACCCGATCTAGTTCCTTTCCGCCACTGATCCTGCTGTTAAAGTCACTAGAAGCCAAACTAAAGCACTCATTGGTTCTCGAGAAACATCAAGGTCAAACACACCAATATCTACAAAGCTGCTAACAGCAGAGGTGCGCAGATAGCCCATGAAAACTGCTTTATCCATGTGTTAGTTTAGGACACTAGTCGAGGCTCCGTCAGTCCTACTCCACCTCCACAGCCAGCACCAAAAGGACGTCAGAGGAAAGGTAGAGGACCCAACAAGAGAACTACCAAGCGCAAAGCGGCGAAGGAAGAGGTTGTTATAACGCTTGCGCTTCCATTTCTCGTGAACGGTTGCCTACAATAATAACTTCTTAGATAGAAGATGCTCCTGCCACGGATGTGGTGGTCACTTCGGCTAGTCTTGTAGAGAACTCGGTAGGTCGTATTTGTTGCACTTCTCACTTTCATCGGTACATCTCCGTTTGCAAGGAAAAAGTAACGCTTGCGTTAATAAAACATTTTTAGGAAAGTGTTTCTCCTACAGACAAACCTCCAATTGTGCTCAAATTGACATTGAAAAGTAAGTTTCAGTTTACTGCTCTCAGCTCTGTGCAGTGCTTATTTGCAGGCTATATGAATTTGTAATACATCTAACTAGTTTTCAAATTCTTATCTACCCTTTAGAAGCGGAACCTGCGAAACGAGGTAAACGAACGGCGTCGGAGAAGACTCCCAAAGAAAGAAAGAAAAGGCAGAAGAAGACGTCGTTGGAGACTGTTGTCACCCCACCAACACCACCAGAGCCGGAAGTGGCTGAGCCTACTCCATCCGCCAGTGATGCGGAGGCAGTAACTGACGCGCCACCAGTTCTTGAACCGCAAATCGAACTCAGTGCGACATTGCCATCAGCGGGCGAAAAAAAGAAAATACAGGAAAGTCCTCCATCAGTGCTGGAGCCTGCTGCTCAAGAAAAGCCTCCAGTTGTCAAGGTACAATATTAGTTGGAGTGGATAAACTAAACTGGGTTTTATCACCTTTATATTGATTCGCTCAATCTCGTCAGAGCAAGAGCAATGTGTATGTCATCTTATTATCATCCTGAAATTATAGGGCAGACGAAGAGCTCTGGAATTTTTACCAGGACCAATAACTAGGAATGAACCCTTGACGACTCAGGTGTTGAATAACATGTTGCATGACCTAGAAATCAAATATTATGGAGACGAAGAGCGGCATCCATACTCGCAAGAGGTGAATTTTAAGCCTTTTAACACGTTCAGGACCGGTGCTGTACATGGTGCAGCACGCTGCTTTGAAGGATCTTTCTGGCGTTTACAGGAGGTTTCCTTTTAGTCCAAAGTTGTTAAGTCAAAGGTCTAAGCTCCTACTTTTCAAATAACTCCGTAGAGCTGTGCCGCGCATATTAGTTAGGAATGAGGATAAATCGAATAACAGTTGCAACGAAGTGCGGCAACGCGCGCGTGCGACGTCACAACTTTTCTTTGCTTCGATTCCAAAGAGAAAAACCGTAGTTTCAATAATGATGTGTACCGTGTACAACATAGATACTTTTCTGTACTATGTGAAACTGAGTTCTTACTCCTATCTTTCAAGAAAGCACAAAAGATTCTTTCAAACGACAAAATTTGAACGCTTCGAATTCACTCTTATCTGACATACTGATTACAAATGTGGCCCACAGACTGCGAAATAAGGTCCCTTTGCAGGCTAACGGCTGAAAGTACACTCTTTTTCGCCAAGCGCGATTTCTCGGTCCGAAACGTGTTAAACATACTGAACAGATTTTTGACCTTAGTCATTTTTCTCTATGTCATTCTTATTTCCTGCTCGTATGCCTTGTTTTCTTTTCATTTTGTTGGAACCAGAGTTTTCTTTGCAGCAGTTCAACGAATGTATACTATCTGGTAATTTTATGCGGGTAAGAAAAGCTATGGTGAATAATGCAATGACCGCTCCACGACTAACGATGTGGACGAATGTGCACGGAGCCAATCTGTTGCATTTGGTGAGCTTTACAAGTGTTGCATTAGCTGTCATCTTCCATCTCCTCATCATATTTTCTGCTTTTTATCCACAAGACAGTAAAGACTTCTTGTTGTGTAAAGGATTTCCAGTGTAGCATTTTAATCCAGAGATATTTTCCTCATTTTGTTCCAGCTATGCCGTACTGTGAAATGTGACGAGCGTCATGGAGGTGATGACATCGCTACCGTACTCTGCAATTTCGCACCTTCGTTGCTGACCGGTCGCGACAGTTACAACCGGTTGCCCATCCATGACGCGGTTGATAAAGGCCAAGTAAGTTATTATTTTTTCACGGAAAGCCAACTTTCTGTTATCCTTTCAAGGTTTGCCGCGTGTACCGTTTGCTTACATTTCACTCCCCTGTCAATGTGGTCGACCGCCATGGTAACACTCCCCTGTCATTGGCCTACATGAAAAATCACGCTAAAATGGTGCGCATCCTGTTGCAGGGCGGCGCTTACTTCTGGCCTCTGGAGAACTCGGAAAAGAGGTGAAGCTTTTTGCTAGTCCTTCTATCTATAGCTACTAAATCTAGTTGCTTTTAGGAAACCTGAAAATTTGAGGAAGCGTCGTGCATTTGATGTTTTGACCAAACATTCACGAATTTTTTCCGCACAGCTAGTGCGAGCACGTAGGAAAGTGTACAGGTTGGGATGAAAAATGTTCTTTGTGTGGCAGTACAACTTACCAAGTCTTGCTCATTCAACAATGTTTGATTTACCTTCAATCTCTCTTTTTCCGATCTGAAAATCAGCTTCCAGCCTTCTACCTAATTTAAAGAAAAAAATTCAGTTAAACCACCAAAAGTAATATATTCAAAAAGAAAGCATCGTAGATTCGATGCAGTTTCGTTGAAAGGCTTTTTTAATTATTTTTTGTGCTTTGTTGGAAAAAATTGTATTTTTTGACTCGTTTTCTGAATTACAGTACTTACCGCAAATTAAGGCTATTGACGGAAGTTCGTTCGGCATCACCTTGCTTCACCGCTCCGTTTGCAGATGGCCCCGAATTTGTCTTTAATGTGAGTTTCTGATCACAAACCATAATACGTAAAACGGCGAACTTGTTGACCTATACTCATTCTTGAATATATTGCGTTTACAGTATCATCACAATCCAGTCCCTTTTCCCGATAATGGAGGTCAATATGGGCACATCCTTTTCTTGCACGTCTGCAGTATAAGACCAGAAGGAGGAGTTGTAAGTTATCGGATATTTTTTCTTTGAAGGCAAATCTATTTGGGTTTTATCATTTCCAGATGCAAGTAAGATGCTGGGGTGGATTACGGCTTGCGCAAGCTCCTCAACACAATAATAAACCTCTTGAGCCAACTAGTTTCACCGAACGTGGTGATCACATGATGTTCTTCATATGTCCCATGAATGGTGCCAATACTATCCAAATAAAAATTAGCGAGTTTGAATTGTAAGTTCGTCCATATAAAAGTCTGATGTCTTGAAAATCTAACTGATTCAGGCCAAAGAAGCTCATTCTTGCCGCACAGGTGGTTCTAGTGAGACGTGCCGTGCGCGAGAACTCATCCCACGCCTATCATCCCCCTCTAGAGCAAGCACCGATGGTGGGACCATTTTTGTAATTGTCTCCATACATGTTGTTGTCTGTATGCATGTGTTGTCATTCAAGTCGTCTGTCTCTAAGACTGTTTGTTGTATGATTTTTATCACGGGTTTTCTGGTTAGGTACAAGTTTTTGACTTGTGGTTGTTAAATTGTGTCCATATTTATTTATGTTCATACTTTTTCAAAACTGAAAACTGTTAATATATTAAAAGTGAATCCATGTTGAAAGATAGCAAGCAGATGGAGAATCTTCTGCTTAATAAGTTCCTACACACCAAAAGACATACATGAGTTTATCCACTAGTAATCAGTGCTCACGAGAAAAATACAGCTGTACAAAACAGGTCAATGAAGTTTATGCACAACTTAAAGGCAGTGTCCGGGCAAAAACTCGATTTTGAGATTTTGTGCTTATACGGGCCTATTCGCTACGCTAATCCGAAAATGCACATTGTAGAGCGCGAAAATGGCGAAAAACGTCTCTAACACAGGAGGGAAATGAGCAGGTGGGCGGGGTCCTCCCCACTGCGAATTCACGTTCCCGGCTTCCGGAGCAACCTTCTCGGCTCCGGTTTCAAGTCAATCATTCGCACTTGACCGGTACCGATTTTAGGACGGCTAGCGGAATCGAGAAAATCGCTCCGGGAGCTGGGAGCGTGAAATCGCACTGGGGAAAGCCCCGCCCACCTGCTGATTTCCCTCCTGTGTTAGAGCCCTTTTTCGCCGTTTTCGCGCTTTCCAATGTGGATTACAGATCCAGCATGGCGAATAGGCCCGTATAAGCACAAAATCTCAAAATCGAGTTTTTGCCCGGACCTTGCCTTTAAGGAAAAGAAATTTTGATTATTTTCTTCAATCTGAGATCATAAATGTACACGGTGCGAAATTTCCGTGTCGACAATTCGCAGCTTCAGGCAAGCAATTAGGAGAAATTGCACCCTTTTGTACTGTCAAGACAGGAGCGGATAGTTTCTCTTCAGGAAATGAGTTCTGCAGCTTGGATACACTATTCAAAGGCAGCGTCTAGGCACCAGTCCCTAGTACCATAGGTGGTGGACGACTTGCATCGACTTGCAGGGACATTTGCTTGTTCAAAGAGACTGGAAGCCTTGTAAAAATTAACAGTGAAATAAGCAACAGTGCTCTATGCTGGAAGTTCATCGTAATTCTACAGTAATGAGAAGCGATCGGTGAATCGCCGTCAAACCAATATAAAGGCAGCTCTGCACATTAGTACCTAAAGGTCGGCAAAAGACTCTGCCGGAAGAGATATATCAACGATCAAACTGGATACATACTTTGGTACATCCTGTATTATACATTCATTACAATTGACTCATGAAGTCTTAGTTGCTTGGAAACCATCTACGACACTTGACAACCTGCTTATTTTAAAGCATGTCTAACAGTGCGAAATCATGCTTTCTTGCATTTCGCGGTCATGGGTGCACGACAGAAAATTCACTGAAAGTCACCACCCAAATCCGAGATTGGTAGAATTTTGCGGTGCAATAGCGAGGCCCTTAAGTGACAATAAGTTGCTGTCGATGTGCCGCTGCAAAAGGTGCCGTCCAAAGTGCCCTTGAAGGCAGTGTCCAAGCAAAAAGTCCATTCTAAGATTTTGTGCTTACCCGGGCCTATTTGCCATGCTGAATCTGATAAACCACAATGGAGAGCGCGAAAAGGCCAAAAAAGAAGATCGCTCGTGAAGCTGGGATAGTGACGCTACTATGTGAACAGCTCCACCCACCTGCAATCTTCCTCCTCCGTCAGAGCCTTTTTTCGCCGTTTTCGTGCTCTTGTTGATTATTGGATTCAGCATAGCGAATAGGCCCAGGTAAGCACAAAATCTCAAAATCGACTTTTTGCTTGGACACTGCCTTCAAAGGGAACGTCCGTCCAAGATATCGCCTTCCATGCTTTTGTCATTGTGGGGCCTTTCCGTGGCCCTGATCACAGCTATAAAGTCCAAATCGTCCAAAACCCTCGAGAAACCCGATTTTTGGGGACTCCTTCTAAGGCTCCCGCCAGAGTGCCGAAGTTATGCCAGCGCTACGCCAGCATTTCGATCGATACACGTGTATTTCGTTGGGGCGGGGCTAGCTGATGTCCCCAACGAAATACACGTGTATCGATCGAAATGCTGGCGTAGCGCTGGCATAACTTCGGCACTCTGGCGGGAGCCTAAGAGCGTGAACGAGTTGTGGATTATTCATTTCCTCGGCTTGCCAGCGAGGAGGAGCTGCAACTGCATTTGCAGTTGCATTTGCACTCCATTATCGATCGATGCGTGAAAACTCGTCCACATGGGAAGGTTTGTGATACCAGAGGCGGTCTGTGATACGTATCAATGGCTCGTATCTCCTTTTAGAGTCCACATCAAAGATCGGACCAACACAGATAGGATACTCCCGCGGCCGAAATGTTGAAGCTAAAGGACGAGAAAGGTGGGGTGGATTTAGGGCGAACGCTGCTTTTAACGCTCCAAAAGCTGGGTGCGACACGAGTCGGAACCTCCATCAACATGGGTGCTTCGAGGCATCCAATGAGCTCGTCTTCATACGGTATACGGTATTCAAAAATGTCGAACCTTTATTCACTGTGATAGGTGACTTCCTGACATTTCTTTTAGGTTGTCCGGAAATTAATGCACGTTTCTTACGCGACCGAGCAGAGGGTATGGAAGGATAGGAGATATATCGGAGACAAATAAGCTTCACAAGACCGCATTTTAACAATTGCACAAAGTCTGAATCAGATGAAGATTGAAAGCAAAATTTAGAAAAATTCGTTTATCGAGAAATCAGCTCCGTCTGAGAAGATGCCGTTATTCTTCGGCTTGGTTTTGCATATACTCTCCACATAAGGCTTCTGCATATACTTCCCACATTAGGCACCCATATATTAGGGTGAACGGCAAAAAATGGGACAGCTAGATTTTTTTAAACAATTTGGAAATCTTTGTTTCGATCAAGAACAAGCAGGGTGCAGCTTAAACGTCGCTTGCATAAGCGAATATCGCCTATTATTCTGGTAACGCTTTAACGTTCTTTTCCCACAACCTTGCACGTGGCGCCGTGAAGAACTCGAACAGGGTTTTTGAACATCTCTCAATCTTGCGTTGCTATACCGTAAAGTCAAAAGTAAGTGACAATAATCAATAGAGCTCTTCATGCTCTTTTGAACAATATATTAAACATTTATTTCTTTTTGCTTCCGGATAAAAAAGCAAATTTATACTTAAAAAATCGCGATTTTTTGGAGCAATAAAAACCAAAAAATCACGTCTCAATTTATATCTTCCGAGGACAGATGAGATTCGAGGTAAATTGCATATGGATGGATAGAGCGTAAAGACTCTATCCAAAGTCCGGCACAGATCGTCTGGAAGCAGGCTGGACTTCGTTTTTAAAGCAAAAACCAAAAGAGATATCGTCTTTGACGAGTCTGGGCCAAACACCAAGAATAAGCGCCATTTAGTCGAACACAAGCGTTTTGCACAGGGTAACACACGATTGACATGCTCTATCGTGCATGGCGAAAAGTGCGCGCGATTTAAAAGTAAGGCTAAAATAGGCAAATAGGTTGTTTGCAGCGCACACAAAATCGTATGGCACCTAAATTGAACTGCATACATAGAAAATTTGCAAAGGAATTATGTAAAAAGTTTCAAAAACTTATGTAAAGTATTACCTTTTCCAAAATTAGTCCGTCTCCAGACGGTCACCAGGCGATCTGAGATCGTCTGAAGCATATATTTTTATCACTTCAATAGGTTTTGGATTTTTCTATCATGGACGGATTCTCCGGTCAAAAATCTATCCCTGTGCTTAAAAACATTTTCATTATGCCTTTCCTTTGTTTTCTGCTTCAGTTCCTTCATAAATCGCCATGTTAAATATCGCGCTCCAATGCCAAACTCTTGTGCATGCATACAGTCTGCCCCAATCCCAACCAGGCCAAAATTGGCATGGCGGGAGTCCTGTCGCAAGCATATGTCACGTTTAGGGCTAGGTAGTTTGCTCTCTCCTCAATTTCTTCGCTCTCTGCGACAGCGCGCGTATGCAGCGCAGACCCCTAGCGCTGCGACCGCCCAAATCCAGCCGACGGTTCGGCCTGATCTCGATCGGGGCAGACTGTAGTGCTCAGCTCCCATTTTGATTTCCACTCTTATCTCACGTTTTCTCTTTGAAACTATAAATCTTTCTTGTATCATCTTCTCCTAAGTAGATTGGTCAAAGGGGATTTCGTAAAATTTCCGAAAGTCAGGGGAGACTTCGTTTTCAAAGATCCCAAAAACCGACTCGTGCCGGGCCCTGACTCTATCAGAAGGTAGCCAATAGCGTGCGTTCACTTGCAAAGAATCAAGTAACACGCAGCTTTGTTCCAGAAAGTGCTAGTGACCTTATCTCCTGACTTTAACCGTTGTGGCCAGCAAGCCATCGTGGGTTTGGTGACTGTATCTTCTTCACTCACTGCAGCAGTAGTACTTTGGATGGTCTCACATGTTTCACTGTGCGGATATTGTTCGAAGTTTATATTTTGTCGAAATGATTAACTTTGTATTTCAGCAAGTATAAAAATAATGGATAACCTGATGATATTGAATAGGTGTTGTCTGAAAGAGAACAATTTATTCTACCTTTATCTTAATTGGAAAGTGCAATCACTTTTTTTTTCTTGAGAAACCTACAGTTATTCTCTAGGTGTCCCATTTTTTACCGTTTACCCTAATAATATATAGTTTGTGTCAAAGATGTGCGGCCGTTCCGATGTCAAGCGCAACGGTAGAGCCCCTTGCCCCGCTTGCGGGCGTACCGCTTGAGCGTTCAAACTTGCCGCGTCGATCGAATATCGCTGCGCAATGTCCAAGCTGGATGCGTGCTTGCTACGGAAAAGGGAGCACATGATTGACGTTTATTTTATGACTGCTGCATTTTTTTAGTTGTTAAAAATCTAAAGGTAAAAATGAGATCAAAAGACGATAACATCGCCTTGCTGGGTTTTTATACTAAATTTGATATTTCTCGGAAACTAGAGCTTGCAGAAGACTAAATCTATTGCTGTACTTCCGAAGCGTAGTATAACGAGTTAGATGGGCGTAGCTCAGCATTGCGTTTGCTAGAGCATACACCAATTTTCATTTTCTCAATTTTTAACCGTGGAAAAAACCTATTGCATAAGAGATTCACAACACGGA